AAAACTCGCGCCTTTTCGTTATGTCAGGGGCTGTCCCTCAACTTGTTTTGTAGGCCCAAACCATTGTAAACCGATGCTGGGGAGAAAAACACGAACCCCCCAGAATCCAGGAAGACACACAATTTGTTCGAGTTGTTTGGTTTTTGTGAGTTGCGCACCGTGCTGTTGAGAAGCACTGTGCGAGGCATTTTTTGAAAGTTGAGGCTCCAGAGTAGGCAGACGATACCCAATACTCAGTCGATACCTAACGTACCTAACCGATACTCATGCCTGCCAAATATCAACATGGGTTTGCGGCATGCAGGGGTTTCCATGTTCCAACCTGTACATCACTGCCAAAAGAAAGCTTATTCAGAGTTATCCTTTCCCATATTGGCTGAAACAAAAGCCCTGTATGCAACCTGTGTACCCTTATACCTCCACTACTACGTAGCGTTTTGTTCCGCAGCATCGGTTTACAATGTTCTGGGGGCTATGAGTTGTTTGTCAAGTTCACAAGAAGTCGTTGACGTGGCCATGTAACACGCATAGCAAAATCAGGCAGCAGGCAGCGGAGCACAGACCAGTTTGGTGTGTTTCCGAAGCAAGTTCAGTCATCAGAAAGAGGAACTCGAGGAGTTGGTGTGGAGTCTCAAACCAAAGACGGCGTGCCACTGGGCAGTTGGGTGGTTTGTGTTTTCGCGGCGTTGTCTCACTCGCCACGTGATAGGCCGAAGGCTGTCATGTGCCACACATATGCCACGCGCCACTTGCATGCCAGCCAGCCTGCCAGAGTGGATCCCCCATGTGTTCTTTCTTCGAAGGGTGTTACTGTATTTGCTTGTGGTATGTTGCCACCTGACGCGGAACCTTCCGGTGTTACGGTGTTGTTCAAGAATCATGGGAACACCATTACCCCTAAACCCTTGCTCTAATTGGAGAGACATTGCTTCAAGGAACCCACAGAGACTTCCGCAACTTCAGCCGAACTTCGGTGATTACCATGTTCGTGCAATCCATTTATTAAAATATCTCCCCCGGTTGCTTGTCACCTCAGGTTCCTTTCCTCCAAGGGCTTGCCACGAGAAAGAAGTGGAGGTAGGCCTTTTTTCTGGGGCCACTCCCAGCAAAATCAGGCCAACTTACAGCATGGTTGTTGTTGTTGGGAAACATTGGAAACATTTTTGCTTATTGTGGTGTAGTGGTTGAAATCCAACCACTTAACTGCTTAAAAAAAGCTCCCCTTCCAACGTCAACCAAGATAAGTGTGCCTCAGATTTATGCCCATCAAGGTAGCCGCCATTCTACTGAGCCATGGAGCCATAGGAAGGTCGAGAGAGGAGAAGAGGACAAGGGGTCGTTTCAAAAGGATGTTCGACCCTCCAGCTCACTTTGATTTTTACCTTGAATACCCGCCCCCCCCCCGCAAAAGTTTCTACTACGGTCCTCGTTCGCATGGGTTCCCCCCTTCTCGTTTGCCGGGTGACAAAAGTGTCAAAATCGTGATCTGTCGGGTAGGCACTTTACTTTATATGAAATTGCTCGAGGCATTTGTTTGATTTGTCCGGTCAAATTTAAAGGGCGGAACTAGATTTACAATTTACAATTTGAGCTTACAGATACCAACCAAGAGGAGTGCTGAAAGTACCCCCTAATGAAGGTTTTCAGGAGTGAAGTATTGGTTTAGCGCTGGGTGAACATAAGTAAAAGAGGAGAAGTCTTGTTTGGGATCTTGGCAAACACAAACATATTTATTAAGATAGGGGTAGCGTTATCAATAGAGGGAGCAGAGCATTGATTTAAAGAAAAACTGATTTTGGATGTCACTCACAAATTACGGCCTACTGTGGATGGACGAAATCCTGCACCACCTAAGACTCCCTGGAATGATGATTCCCCTGTAAATACCAACAAACCAATGGTTTCCCATGTTTCAAAGTGGTGCGGGATTTTGTCCATCCACAGTATGGCCTCAGTCCTGTGCCTAGGAATCAGCTCACAACCCTCAGGGGAAACGTCAGATGGGCCCGGAGCAAGGCAGGTGGAACGGGGCGCACGAGCGCCCGTGGGCCCGTGTCGCTGCTGTTTTTTACGACTCGTGCACGCCGCGCAAAAAAAGAAAACAACTCGGGCTGCCACTTCCTAAGTACCTGGCGAAAGCTGTGTATTCTCTTTGCTGAAGTAAAGATCAAGTAGCGAGCGCACCGATCAGGGGGGAACAGTGGAGCTCACCATAATAAAGGTCCTTTACTCGGGCTTTTGGATTTATAGTAACAATGAAGATATATGATGTCGAATGTGCCATGGAAAGGGCGATTAGCCGACTTCAAGGCCTGAGAAAGAGGACAGTTCAATCAAGTGACCCGAAATTGTTGCCCTTCGTGGGGGACTTGGGTTGGTGGTTTGGGGGTTGGAACCGTCGGTAAATGTTAAAATGCGAAACTGTGGAGCGTTGTGGTGCGTTCTTTAAAAAGAGCCCCTGAATGAATGAATTTTGGGTCCCAGTTTTTTTTGGCCGCCCCCGGATGAATCAATCTGATGGATGAGCAACTAGTAAAGACATTGCTCGTGCTAGACAACCCATGTTTGATATCTCTTGCAGGAAGTCACCACAAGAAGTATCATTGCCTGCTTTGCGTTTACCAACCGCCTACTCCCATACCCAAGACGATCACAGGTCAAAGAAATGATGTGGTTAAAAAATGACATCAAAGGGGAGGTTGAAAGTTTGTTTCCACATCATCCGGAGGTGTTGTTTTTGTTCTCTTGGCGGAGTCTTTTTGGAGTTTTATCTCCACTTTCAAAGTGGGGTTTTCGGAGCTCGATGGTCATTCCCGGACCGGGTTCATGGAACAGGTACGTCGGCCCCCCAACAAACACTTGCGTGGCCCACGCTGAGCAACTCGAGGGGAAATCGTCAATTCGCAGTTTTCTCAAAAAAAGTGGACTTGGGTGTCAAGGGAAACTAAAGGAAGCATGGTGGGTGTTCTATTATCCCCACCCCCTTCAAAGTGGAATTGGGGGAGGGGTGACCCCTGGAATTCCATTTATGGTTCCATTTTCCCTTTTGTGGGGAAGAGTAAGGAAATGCAATTGGGGAGCCCCCCACCCCTTAAGGTAGGGGGATGTTCTAATGAGAAACACCTAGAGAAGTGAATGGAGATGACCCTGCTCAGGTCATCCTCCCAAAGAGGTTTTGCCCCCCCCCCCCCACTTCCCCGCAAAGGGGGCCATCTCCCTCCAGGGCCAAATCGGATCCCACAATAACCAGGGGCAACCCTCAAGCCACGTGGCCAAACCACCAACGAAGGGGGTTACTGATAAGGGCTACACATGAGTCGAAGTCTGTTGTGATTGTAGAAGCGTGGCACTAAACAACTAGCCCCTGTGTATTACACCTAAGCCCACGCAAAACACACTCTTGAAAAGAACTCTTGTAGTGGCTTTATGAATACCTGCCCGAAAAAGGCGATCCCGCTACCTGCCGTTGGGGTACGTACCCCAAATATGTATTCCTTTTTCACCCCTAGATTCGCACTCCAATCGCACACCCCTCACAAAAGACACACAACCCACTGAACGGAGACTCATAACCACTTTTGTGGGTTTTAACCAAGCGTACTATGACCACTTACTAAGTCCATTGCCCCAAAAAGTAACCTCCAGACCACCAGTCAAAACCACTACTTAGAGGCACGGCACGCCGATGGTAGATTTGCCCGGCTCGCGGGCGTGCAGCCAATGCCAGGCACAAGCCACGCAGCGCATGGACCAGTTCTTTCAGTGAGCGATCACCCGAGTCCGCTCAGACTCCCGTTGTGTCGCTTGCTCTTTGTTTGTTAGTTGATTGTTCTTTGGATTCTCCCGTTGCACATTTGATTGAATTGGTATGTTGCTGTTTTGTCCGTTTCGGTGGGGCCACGTTTCCTTTGGCGAAGTTGAGCCCCCCTGTGTAGGGAGCATGCATGGATCCCCGGCAAACAAACCAAAAGATTCGCCGGACTCAATCAATCTAAAGACGACAAAGACACCCGGGCCACCCTTTTGGCCTTCTGGCCTTTTCATGGTTGTTGGGAAACATTGGACACATTTTTGCTTTTTGTGGTTTAGTGGTTGAAATCCAACCACTTAACTGCTAAGATTTTCATTTGTTGCTGCCCTTCCAAGGTCGACCAAGTTATGGCCTTTTGACATCTTTTGCCGGGCCCCCTCCAAGAGGGATCAAGTAACTCCGCCCAAGGCGGCACGGTTTCACCCATGCGATCCCCGGGACTCGGAGGGAAAACCGGGAGCGCGGAAGGCTCGTAGAAGCTCCCCGAGCTGCTCCAGTTGTTCCAAGCGAATCGAGCTTTGACCTTTTGGATTTTCCCAAAAAGTTGGATTTTTCATGTTTTTTTTCCCTCTTTGGGTTCCCATTTTTGGTCGTGGGCCCAAAAGGTGATCAGCTTTTAGTTCTGGGTCCCTAAGGAGCAGGTGAGTCTGGACTTGACATACTTTTGGGGAAGACCATTTTAGCAGACATTCAAAGGAATGCAAGGATGGATGCTGACAAATGCTTTGCACATTGTTTTTGTTCCACAGAAGGAACGACCCATCAACGTTCCTGGTGCTTAGGGCTTGATTTGCAGGATCCAGCTTCCGAACACACATCCATGCACTCCCTTGTCATCCAGGCTCAAATGTCATGGGGAACACGCCAAGCCATGGCGGCTTGAACAATAAACACACACACAAGGCTCAACAACTGCTCAAACGCTCGAAGAAATGAGCTTGGTACCAGTACCAGTATACATAGCGTTCATTATACTTTGGAATGTCCAGCTGGTGGGTGCATTCCTTCAGATATGCTGTTGGCAAGGCGTCGCTTCGGGATGATAAAGCAAGCAGAATATGTGCGGAGGAAAGCAGCGAATCTGACACCATTAATGACATCATCGGCAAGGTCGCGACCACAAGGTATTGTACGTGAGAGGGCCTTAAGGTTTTGAAGAGAAATCACCCCACCTTCTTTCGGCTTTCCCCATTGGTGGCTGAAACTGCTGATGTGGTTCCCATTGTCCTCCCATTTAGGCCAGGCACCAGGGCGAGATATCAGGTAGACGTTCAGAAGCAAAATGGCGCCCTGGCTGCGAGGCCTTTGAGCTTGGGAGCAGGAAGTGGCTCCCTGAGGTTTGAAAGGGATGACAAACAAGGGCTTTTGGACTTGTTTTTGAACTTGGACTTGTTTTGGAACTTGGACTTGTTTTGGAACTTGGACTTGTTTTGGAACTTGGACTTGTTTTGGAACTTGGGCTTGTTTTGGAACTTGGACTTGTTTTGGAACTTGGACTTGTTTTGGAACTTGGACTTGTTTTTGAACTTGGACTTGTTTTGGCCAATGCGCTCAGTTCCGTTCCTGAGTGCCGCTTGAGATTGGAGTGTTTGAAGTGTTGACACTCTTGGCCCTGGTGTCCTTTTTGTATGTCATGTGCCGCGAACCCTCATAAAGGGCCACCTCGAAAGGGGTAGGTGGGCATGAGTCCTCACCCACTTGATGTCTAGCAAAGTGTCCCGTACTTGCTACATAACCGAAACAAACAGCCACAAGACCATGACAGCAAGTTCTCAAGGGAGGTGCCTTGCTTAGACCTTCGGGTTGCTGGAGGAGAAGTGATGTGCAATTAAACGAGATCCCTACTAGAGGCTCGTATTTTCACATACATGTGTGCGTGTGTGTGTGTGCATATGTGTATGGTATATGTGCATATCTATATTTATATATATAATATGTATATATGTATGTATGCATAAATGGGAGGGTGTTGTGTTGCTTCCCATGGGAGCTGCTTCACGCTTCTTTTTTGTTCGGAAGTTTGCTTTCGATGTCCCGTCCACCTGTCGGAGCTCTGGCTGATGGAAGCTCCCAGGACCCTTTTGGAAGAATTTGGTTCCATTTACAGAGGCCAATTGGGGGAGGTTCCGGCTGTCAGTCTGAGGGAGCGTAAATACTGAGAAAACCACCCACTTTCCAACTGGAGCATGTGTTTGTCCACAGTTACTAGTTCATCCCTTTAGGTGCACTATGTATGGACCAGAGTGTAAATACGGTTTTAATTGGCAGCACAAGCAGAGGCAGACCCCGTAGAATGTCTCCGCCAGTTTACAATCCAAGTTGAAGGGGCCCCTCCCACTTAGCAGCAACAAGGGGCTGTGTTTGATGATGGTGACCTGGCGAATGACAACGCTGACACATATTGGATTTTGCCTTATGCGGCACAAGCGGTTAACACTGGAATGAAAGTTCCCTTGCGAATGCCAACAACAAATGGTTTCCCATGTTGGTGCAGGTGTTCGTCCATCCACCGTATGCATATCTAGAAAGGTCTGAGTTCAAACAAATTCGCCTTCTGAGCCGGCCAGGCTTGTTGCCTGTCTCTGTGCCAACTCCCGGTGCCCGGCCTGGCGAGCATGAAACAAGTCCACCAGATCCTATGGAGGAAGGTCAGGTTCCATGGTGGGCGGAAAGGGTATGGTTTTGTTCCCCTGAAAATTTAGTGGGGTCCAGGTTGTGGTTGAGAAGAGTACACGCATCTAGGATCCAAGGCAAAACATTCGAGGTGAAGAATGGCCCGAAACAGAAACGCAGGGATCAAGCAAGCCCCCCCCCCCCCCCCCGCAAAAGGACGCGGGTCTAGTTGGGAACCTTCAGGTTTTTCTTTCAGAAGGGCCCCTCATGGAGGGCTGAAAATTGTACCTTTCATGCTTTTCAACAACCCACCCCCCATGAGGGGACGCTCTCTGTTGTTTCTGGTTTTTGGTGTTTGGGGCCTGCAAAGCAGCCTATTGTCAATGCTGCCCACGCTTTGTGCAGGCGCTGTGGCGGGTCTTGCTGCGCCGCAGCTCCTGGGAAGCTTCTCGGTGTTTTTTTTGGGTCTTAAGGAGCTCACCCGTTTGAACATAAGACACGCAGTGGTGCCCTCTTCTTCATTCCCCAACTGAAAGCTATGGGGCCAACAGGCCCAGATAAGCTTTGGGGTGGTTTGGGGCTGCTTGCAGGGAGAGTTCCGGAGATTCGGTTCCAGAAGGTTCGGGAATGTTGAGACCACCGGGGCTTATTCTTGAGGGGGGTTCCCTGCAAAAGTCCACTAACCAGAGTGCCCAATCAAGCTTTAAAGGGCCTTGGGAACGGGGAAGTACAACGAGATCTGCGATGAGGGTCTTTTAACAATGGACCTTACACATACCGCTTCAGAGCCGAGGGGGCCATTGCAATGTTCAGCCCTTCAGTCACCTGGCTCGAGTTGAGGCAAACCGGAAACCAAATTGAATTGCCCTCCCACCAATTCACATGGAACCTAGCAGGGAAATGGTCCCTTGAACAGGACCCCCCAACTGTCAGGTTCCATGTGAAAGGGGTGGGAGGGTATTGCCGGTTGAGACTCAGAGTACTTGCGCATTGGCCTTTTTTCCAACTCGGCCGAAGGGGTTTCAGGGGATGTGCAATAGCCCATGTTTAAGATCAAAGGCGCAAGGCGGGATTATTTCTGCTTTGTTGCACCCAACAATTGCACTCAGGTTAGAAAAGGAACCCACCCCCGATCACGAGCTAACTGAGAGATTTGTGGCCCCATTTATCAAGCAGGGGTGGCCACGGGATGGCTGACCGGGGGAATTCTACGGTCTGAACAGTTCAACTCTGGGCGAGTTTTCGAGGTTTGCTTTCACCCGGCGCTTGGGGATGTTGGCCCCTGAAAGACTCGCTGGGCTCTATACTCTTCGGGGAGACCCTGGGAGAACACTTGTTGTGGTAAACAAAATGTTCGGACTTGCTTTTTCGCAGATCCACTCAGGACTTACAAGAGCCACACCGAAACAAGCCGTTGCACAGCCTACACGTTGACCATCACTCAGCTGTTCCTGAGGTGTCGCAGATGGTCGGACGCACCTGCGCGTTCCGGTGTCTCAGGACCAGACAAGTCTCACTCACCTTCACTTCTGAATCTGTGAGCAGCGGTCCAGCCAGCATATTTTGAGAATATTGCTTTTCTGACTTCGATCAATCCAGACCATTCACAAATCTAGGGTGCTAGCAAGGGGTGTGCTTCCTCTCTCCCCACTCCGGATGTTTCTATCAGAAGGTTCCTGGAAGGCTACATGTCTTCTACTACGAGTGCACGCTGGAACTCGTTGATTCGAACCATGTATTGTTTTTGTTCTACAAGGCTGTGTCTTTATTGAGGGTGCTCCAAAAGGAACACCGTTGCGCCATTTTGGAGGGTCCGAATCCTAAAAATAAGCCCAAATGATATCCCCAACAGCCCCGGAACCCTCCCTTCAAACCCTCCCTGAAAGCTGCCCAATTGGGCGGTACACCCCTCTCCACATGGTTCCTGTGGGTCCATGAGCCCGAGGTGACCCATGAGCCGCATGCCCCGCAGGAGCTCTCGCTGGATTTGCTGGAGGCATCGCTTTCTGAGCAAGAGACTGGGTCGCAAGGGGGCTTCTTTGCGGGGCCCCGTAAGTGGAATTGGGAGTGGGTGACCCTTGGAATATCTTGTTCCGATTAGTTTGTTGTTTCTCACTGCCGGCATGCGGTAGGTCGGAAGGGGTGAGATATCCCTCATAAGAGGGCCAATAAGCTACTACACAAGTCCTATGATCACTTGTGGTTCCCCCACAAACCCATAAGGATGTGCACTTTGACCAAACCTCCAAAAAGAAATCTGGGTGGAAGTCCGAGTCGAAAAACGGGGCCTTCTCCCAAGGCGGGGGCATCCTCTTCAGCTCCCGGGTCGAAATTTCGAGGAGCAGCTGGTCGAAGAGGCCCTGGAGGAGCCCACGAATGGCGCAGAGAGCGCCTGGCTGCAGAAAACGGAGCTGCGGGCTCGAGTTTTTTTTTTTTTTTGGGGGGGGTGGGCGTAGGGATTTTTGCGGGGGTTAAGGCTTAGTCCAAGGGTGTTCCAAACAACCTGCTGGGATTACTGGGAATCACCCTATTCTAGCCTATGTTCAGATAAAACCTGATTATGTTGGTTGATTTTGGATCATTGTGGGCAATTCCCGTAGGGTGTAATCCCAGGGTGTAATGTGAGAATCTTATGTATGGTGGTGTGGGGATGGTTTAGGGCTGGACTAGGTTGGTTTACGGTTGGTATAGCTGGTTTTGGGTTGAGGGTCGACAGCAAATTTGCTTTAGGGTTGCGTTGGCTTGTCCGTGCAGGGGTGCCGGATGGGGCTTGGAAAATAGAAAGGGGAACCAAGCTGAAGTCAGTGAAATTCATTCAGTCAGACTGACGCCAGAACAAACACCAGCTACAATTCAGCGATCACTTGAGAGATCCTGTCGGTGTCCCGAATACTTTTCTATGGATCGTGACCCGACCGGAGTTAAACGAACGCCCCGATTTGACGGTGCATCATGAGTGGGGAACCCAGGAGAAAAAAGAAGGAAAAGGGCCACTGAGCAACTGTTTGAAGTTTGCTTGCGTTTCCCTCCGGCAGCTGTCCATCAAGGGGCCTACCTTTCCATCACGGCTCTTCGGTTTCTAGTTCTTGGGCGGTAAAGGCCACGACCAAGTGCCTCCAGAACGAACGGCACAGTCTCAACTCCAGCCACAAACCCGTATCCATGTCCCAAAAAAGAAACATTTGATGCATCCTTTCTGTGGTCTCTCGGCTGTTTATTCAAACCCATATCAATTTGGCATTAGTTTTCTGAATCGCCCCTACTTGCAACACACACTTTTTGCCGGTCTCGCCACCTCAGCTGCTTGCACTTTCCACTTACTTGGGTCTAGACCAAGTTGTTTGGCTCACTTCCTGAGTGGATTGGCCAAAAAGGTCCAAACTTCTTAGTTTCCACTAACGTGGTCCAAACTCAAGAAGTGAGAAAAGAAGAGGTCCCAGCTGGGCCATCCTGGCTTTGGTGGTTGAACCCTTTGGTTTAAGGATGAAACCCTACATGAGCCAAAAGTCTAATCTCCAACTCGAGGAGTGAGTTGGCAAATAAGCTGTTTCGTAGTTTCTGGTTAATCCACTTCGCTGCGTGAGTCGCCCTCTTTTGCGGGATCCGTCTCTCTTGCGGATCCGCTGGTGAGCAACTCTTTAGCCACATGAGTCACATGAGCCATACATCTGTTCGAGGGTACCTTTTCGGGTTTGTTCTTGTTGGGAAACAAATTGGGGATTCACACATTTTGTGTGGGCTTTTCTTTGAAACAGTCCAGTAGAAGCCTATATAGATATGCACATAAATATACGTACCTACCGTACCTATACCGCTGCATGCATGCATACAGCCTACCTACCGAGACGTTTAGCACAAGTTCATTTTGGACAGCCCAGACATGTGGGGGTTTGGGGAGAGTGTGCCCGGGCTTGGAAGGTGCCTAAGGGATTTGTTCATTTTAAGTTTCCCTGAAATCAATCCTGGGGTCATTATTTTGACCGTTTCTAGGGGTTAAAGTCAGAAAATGGAATCGGTTGTTTCCCTTTAGCCCATCACTGAACGGGGGTGACTTTGATCATGATAAAATAACGAGGCCAGTGTAAAGGTTTAAATGGTTAGGAGGGCTACAAAGGTATGTCGCAACAAATGTACATATATATATATACATATATATATATAGATACATATATATATATATTTATATTTATATTTGCATGCATGTATGTAAATGTGTGTATATGTTAGTGGTATGGTTCGCAGGTGATCCCTACGGCCTGGTGCTGTGGCCGGCGGCCCAGGTGGCGGCCGCCGCCCTGGTGGCGCTGCTGAAAGCGCGAGCTCCGGCGGGGCGTCCCGTGTTTGCCCCTTTGGAGGGCACCCAAAACCGCCGGAACAACCGGAAAAGAAAAAAAAACAGAAAAAAAGGAGAAAAAAAAAGAAAAGAAAAAAAAAAACGAAAAACTGGTGTCCTGTTTGGCGGTTTTGGTGGAAAAATCGAGGGCGATCCCTGGTTTACCTGGTTGAGTCATCTACCAGGGCCATCTATTTGCCCCAAACAGACACCTATGAAGACGAAAGAACACTGGCAACAGAGTGGTTTTTTAGGTCAGTTTGGGTTAGAAGTATGGGGTTTGACTGGTTCAGAAATTGGTTTTATGCCCCATTTGGGGGGTCGTTTTTTTTGCCAAAAGGACACCCATGCCAGTGGGTTGCTTCCTTTTGCCTTCTGGGGGCTTGGGGAGTTTGAGGATTTGGCTTGAAGAGGCTTGCCACGCCAAAAACAGAGTCTTTAGGTAGCAACTAGATGGTGGTTTCGATTGGTATGGATATGGATTTGAAGCCCGGGCGCCTGTAGGAACGGGAAACTCCCCACCTATCCAAAGCGCCAATTGTGGGAAAGTTGAGACTTCCCCCCTTCTCAAGAGGCCTCGGCTTGCACAGCTTTACAGGGAAATACCAGCCAAGAGCCGGGTTTCCTCCATTTCCCTTGTTGGAACCTCCAAAGGGGTACCACCAGCAGATTGCTGCTTTTGAGTAACCCCTGAAGAACCGAGAGGTAGGTGTTGCTCAAGAGGTCGCCATTGGAAGCCTCAGGCCTCCCCGGTCAAAAAGCGGGCTGTGCGAAAGGCCGAGAAGCGCGGCTCGAAGCGCCGCATTTTGGAACTGGGCTGCGGCACTGGGCTGTGCTCCTTAGCCGCCGCAGCAGAGTCTTCAGGCGCGAGTTTGGTACGCCGGCAGGGGGGTGGGCCATATATTGGTCGACGCGCTGCTCCCTGAGTTCATGGACTTTCGACTTTGGGGGAGGACTATATATATATATATACACACATATATATATATATATGTTTGCGTGGCAACCGAAAGTTTGGCTACGACGCCACTCGAAGTTGCGAGAACCCAAGCAGCAGCTTGCCAGAGAGAAGCCGATTCTTAGGTGGATTCTATCGGGTATACCGCGATCCGACTGCGATCCGAGTGCGATCCTGCCCCACAACCCATTTTCTAATCTATATATAGCCGTGTTGTGCCGCAATGCAGGTCCGATCCAGCTGCGATTTGCGCAGCCAAGAGTGCTGTAAAAATGTTGTTGTGTGGGAACCCGGGTGGACGCATGCACAGCCTCATCTTGCCGCAATCCGGGCGCATTTTGTTGCACTTGCAAGTGTTTGGCAGTGTCTGGGTTGGGCAGATCAGAGCCAGGAACCAGCTGGCATTCACAGCCGCTATCTTGCAATTTGTTGTTGCACGCAATGTTTCGCATTTTCAGCCGCAGATTCCGCTCACCTGCTGACTCACCCCTGCGCCGCGCTTAGATGTAAGTTTCTACCGTCCTCCACGCAACCACCCTTAAAGGCCAAGTGTGGGGAGGATTAGGTGGTACGTGCCGCGGAGCCCGCATAGCCATATTTCAGCATCCAAGCACACTTAAGAAGTAGCCTTCTCGAGTTTGTTCTTTTTCGGCAGGGCTGATCCCTCCTTAAAGTTCCAGTTTAAGCATAAATTTGAAAACTCTGTTGCATTTAGATAATAATGATGTGTAAATACATTCTATTGGAAAGGGAATCCATTGTCAAGTCTAATTTGAAGTGGAACAATTCTCAGTTAAATTCTATATTAAAATTGAAGCTCTGATGGGATTGTTGCCTTAGCACATGTATTTAAGCTCTAACTGACTAACTCCTAGTTAAACTCTATTGTAAAATTGAGGCTCTGATTGGATATTTAAGTCCTATTGAATTGTAGAGTTCTATTTTGCAAGGAGTTCCATGGAACCTCCAGAATTTCACAGCGCGGCCATTGGGGAGGATGCGATGTTTTGTTGGTACAACCGCTACAACACGCGGTGCGTTTGCGGTGCTTTTCGGACCATGGTAGTGCTGGGGGCTACGTAAAAAATAAAATAAACACGAGTTTGGGACCTTTGCATTTTTTCCAAACAAAATTCTATTCAACCTAGTTATCAATTTCTACTCAATTTCCATTTTCTAGCTCAAATTAAATAGCATTTAATAAGGAGATAACGAAACATAATTTAAGATTTAAAATGGACTTTAAACAACATCATTCTATTTTGAATTAAGATTCACGCAAGAGGTCCTTTCCAATAAAATTGCCTTTACACATGAATATTTCGTTCAAACACAATTTATTCAATTGTGGGGCCTTATAACTCTTTCCGTCTGACATTTTGCCTTAATATATTTGCCAAGTTCTGCTCAACGTTGTATCTGAAGGTTGAATAAGTTGAACACTATCAATCACATTTTCTATTTGCGTTACATTTTACACAATAATTACATTTGTACAGTTATAAGCGTCTTTACAAATCAGCTAACATTTACGCACAATGTGTTCAATAAGAGCTCAACAGAAGCAAAGTGAGTACGAACAGCAAGAACAGACTCGCATGCACAAGCAGATGAACACATAGTACAAAGCACACTGCCACAGTCCGCTGCCAAAAAAAGAAAAAAAGAACTGGCTCAGCCTGGAAGGCTCCTGTTGGTTTCCTCCCTAGCTGCTGGTTCCGAGCCACCCGGAAGAAGCGAACCGAGCGAAAACTGGGCAGGCGCGGAAGTGGTGGCCACGGACTACCGCGCTGAGCCTTTGGAGCTGCTGCAGCAGGCGAAGTGGCACAGCTCGACGTTCGAAAAAGTTGCACTTCAAGAAAATGCGACCACTCCGTCCTCAGATTGACATGAGTTGTCCTGGGGTCATCATTTTGACGGTTTCTGGGGGTTATCAAAGTCAGAAAGTGTGGTTGTGTCCACCACTTAGGGGGTGACTTTGATCATGGTAAAAATGATGAGGCCAGTTGTCCTAGGTCCTAAAATGGAGATTCCTCTGCACTTGGCGGTCTGGGCTCTATGTGAACCAGGGTAAGCTGCAACCTCGAGGGCCCCCCCCCCACCCCCCCGGACAGGTCTTTTTGTCAAGCTCGGAGGGTTTCCCTCAGGTTTCCCCTGGAACATGACTGCTGTTGACTATGGAAAAATGAGGTCCATTCCAGTCAGACGTCCCATACCCAACCCTTCAAAATCTCACAAACCCTGGTTGAGACCAATCGGGGTGTGTCCCATTTTGGAGAAATCCGGATCACTTGGGTGGCAGTGGCAGTGCTTCGGTTTCGGAGTGTTGCAGCTTTCTCTCTCATGGGCGTTCGGTATCCTACTGGACCAAAGGCTTTTCGGGAAATGTTGACGGATGAATAACCGTCCTAGTCATACTTAAAGGGGCAGCTGGCAGGTCAGGTAAGTGGTGATTGTAAGCCTGCTCGAAACAAACCAGCAAATGCCAGTCATAAGTTAGGTGGATTGTAACCAGGCTTACTAACCATTTACTATTTACCTGATCGCCCCTGTAAGCAAGGGTATTCAGGTGAACATGAAAAGCTTTGGCACTCAGGAACTGAAAGATCGGTTCAGAATTCTGGGACACTTTGTTGGATGGTTTTAGGAAATCCCTCCATGTTGGGTTCTCATGGTCGCAACACCATTTTACTTCAGGCTGGTCGGGATTGTTCTGGAGGCGTTTCGGACAACCACGGCAAAGGGCTAAGCCCTTAATTATTCGGGAAGTCACTGCCATGACCCACATAAGGAGTTTGACCCAAGCGCATATGTCACATTTCTACTGGCAATGCTCTGTAGATGCACGCCAAAGTGTCCGTCAAAAATTCCAGCCTTAGCATGAATATTCCGTCAAATGTTCCTTTCGGCTGCTATTCGAAGCTTGAACGTACAGCGAGTTGCTTGAACAAAAGTGGGGGGTCGCCTGATTAGGTATGCTTCCTTTTGCTGGTTGTTTGAAGTTTGGAATAGGGAATCCTGACAAATAGGTTGACCAAGTTAGACCTTCTTGAACAGGGGGTAGCTGTACATGCCAACTATACATAAGTCACATAAGGATATATAAGGTGCATGCATTCAACAGATTATGTTTGTTTTGTTCGGAAATGAGTTTCACTTTGGCGGTTCTCAAAGCGCTTTTCTTTGGAGGGGCACGTCAACCTGTAGGAGTTTCGCGAACCCCGATGAATCAGGGGCATGGCCTGTAAAAAGCGAGTTTTTCTGTCGTTTTAGCTTGTGAAAAGAAGGATGCCTGAAATTAACGCGTGAACAGCCGGAAAGGTTGGAAAAGATAGGGAACCCGACAAGTTGGAGTGGCCTATTTCAAGCGAGTTTTCTTTTGTTGGTCTAAAAGACGGAAACATTGGGAAGCCCCAAGCCAGTGGCTTCGGTTTCAGGCGAGGCATCTCAACGAGCGTCGGCTGGGACGACGCCTAGCCATACGCTGCCAAAACCTGGACTTTGTGAACCAGCGTCTACCGGCAGCGGACGCTTTTCGGGCGAATGGGGCGCGAACGCTCCAATAAGTCATAGAGGTTTAAAGTTGGCTTGCCCAAATTGGCCCAAATCCAAGCTTTCCAACTAAACTTACTGAAGCGACGTCTTCTTTGTCGATCTAAGCCCCAAATCAAATCTACTGGCGAATCTGGCCAGCTTCCTGAAACGGCATGCTTCCCTTACCGCGACCAGGCCAAAGAAGATTGGGGATGGGCCAAATCACCGAGGGGTCCCAGATAGTTAGCATGTGGCTTTACAGGCACAACCACATTCCTTCATGAACATCAGATAATATTTTTAAATGTGTATCTGTTTTGTCTAATAGCCACGCAAACTCACATCACGGAGCAATACCATGGTTGCTTGGGGGGCTTTTTCCTGGGCTCCACAAGGCCTTGCCATGGCTTTGAATTGTCATTTGCTGTCTTTTTCAGCGGCGGGGTCTAAACTGATACTTGTATATATTTCAAAGGACCTGGGACGAACCAAACGGGACACAGAGAACTGCACACTGGCCTTTGGCAAGCGTTATGCAGCCTCACTTTGGATTGCTGTTCTAGGGGTCCCTAGATTCATGTTTCCCCTCGTGTACGTATCTTATCGTTCCCATGTTGTTGAGTGTCCGTTTCCTCAAGGGGGTGCATTCATTTTCGAGGTATGCTTTGGGTTGCATTCATTTTCGGGGTGCGTGTGCAACAAATGTATTGGTCTCAGGACTTTGTGGTGGCTGCTGATCTGCTGTACCTGCGCTCGACCTCCGAAGCCTTGGCCAAAGGAGAGCTGTGTGGCGCTCGAATCCGTGGATCTGGCGGCCGGAGGTCAAGACAAGAAGCCATCGACCCCATGCGACCAGTCGAGTTTTTCCGGTAACGATGTGAGTGTTAATTTTGGCAACGATCCTACACAGCCTCGTGCTTCCAGAAACCCCAAAAGTGGTTTTTGGAACCCCTCAAAACGTTCCAAACAACCACCTGCTTTTCTACTTTACGAGGAATCAGCCAAACGGCAGTCTCAAAATTTCAATACCCTCGCACTATTGAGAGGTGGTTCCCTTTTCATGCGGAAACATGTCAATTTGATGAATATGGTTCTCCGAATGTATCCAAAGTGAACCTTTGCCCCCGCGTTTTGTCGCCGTTTGCGAGAACGTTTGGGGTGTCGTCAAAATTGAGAGCCCTTTGGTACCCCTTTTAAAAACCTTTGGCTCACTGAGCAAGAGCAACCCAGAAAATTTTGCCGGTGCTCAGTAAGAAATTGCCTTCCGGGTTTTGGGAATGAACTAAGAGTCCCCTTACAGCCTTAAAGGAAACCACAACTTAAATAGTTTATCTCGGGGGCATTCCAATTCTCATTCCCTGCATCTCTCGCAAGAAAAGAGGGGCATCCGCACAATTTGCGGGTTGAGCCAAAGGGTTGCAAGTTCCTCACCAGGCACGGGGCGGTTTTTCCTTCCCTGAGACCTACCATTCTGTTCCCCAGGATGCTTGGAGGCTCTGAAGGGCGGCGCGCAGGTGCTGGTGGGCGACGCTTGGATGAGGTTCTGGGCTTGTGGGGTTTCGAGTGCGTGCGACTTGCCGGGCCCGCCTTTTGGCTCGGTTTGGATGAAGACCAAAAGGAAAAGCAACGATTTTGGGACCCCGATGTTTTTGAAGTAAACCCACATGTGGGTGTTTTGAGGCCACTTCTTCTTTGAGCCTAATTCGCGAAAACCCGAAGGAACTCACCCATTGTCCTGTCTTCTTATTGGGCACACCCATGACATGGAGGAAAAATTGATGGCGCCGAAATGGGTCGAACAGGGTATCAGCCTCACCCGCTCTTCTATCAGAGGGAAACCAAAAGACGGAAACACCCATGGTGTCCTCCTATTTTAAGACACGCATACTGTGGATGGGCGAATTTGCTCAAAACCATGTTAGCACCACCAAATGAAACCATGCTTGAAAACAACAGCAGTTGCTGGTATTTCTCGGGAATTTCTTTGTTGCTCAGGGCTTCTTGGTTGAAAACCACGGCATTTGTTGGTATCTACCAGTGGAATCGAATCACCGCCCGTTTCCGTTGGCCGAGGACACGGGGCGCCCGGGCCGGGGGGCCTTTCTGCGGCGCCTGCAGCGAGAGCTCAAGGTGGGCAGTTCTTACAACCCGAGGGTTGGAAACCTCTTGGTTTCCATGTAAGAACATCCACGGAAAGGCGAAGTTTCTTGCTGGCTTCCCTTCGAGATTACCCAAAAGCTCTTATCTTTTCTTGTGGTTCCCCTTCATTTAACACCATCGATTTCCAGGTGGTCCTTTCCTTGTGGTTTCCCTTGCAAAACTGAGTTGCCCAATTCCGACCTTTTGACCTTTAGGTTTTCCCAGTTTGGTCCATTTTAGTCATGGCCCCAAAAGCTTAACCTTTTGTTTGTGGGCCTTTGGGCAACCAAGAAAAAGAAGAAAACACAAATATACTTTGGTGTGTCGGGCGATTTTGCGGCGAATTCACCAGGTCCAGGTGGATTTTGAGCAGCTGCACGGCTGGAGCTTAGCGCTGCCCAGGACAGATGTGAATGGTTACAGGTGTTTGTTTGATCGGCTGACTTAATTTGTGGGGGCTGGGGGGGAGGGAGGGGAGGGGGAGGGAGCCCAAATATGCCCGAAATTCTCCCCCTCCCCTCCTTCCCCCCCAGCCCCCACAATGAATGAGTTCCGTTTCGGACTTTAGTCACTTAGGGGTTTGGACCATTTTAGTGGTAACTAAGCAGTTCAGACTGTTTGTTGGGGCAATCCACTCAGGAACTGATTTGGTTTGTTTGCAAGAAGAATCGATGGGTTGGTCTCACTGGTTTAATTTTTTGTGTGCCCCTTTTCCCAGAAAAAATATATTTGTAAAGGTCCTTCCTCCCACAAAGAGAAGATCACTTTCGTCTCAAAGGGAGGGTCCCTGTGAGGTTCTATGTGGCAGGGAGGATGTTCTCGAATATTAATCTGAGAGAATGTTCTAAGGTCAATGTAATAACGTTCCAGGGTGAATATAAATCTCGAGATACCGTTTTAATGTCAATGTACATCTCGGATGAATCCGGCGGACTGTGCGAATCAGGGACGACTCTCCCGAGGAACTCATCTATTTTTAGGGGTTCGTTTGACCCAGGGGTCCTCCAGGTGAATCCTCCAGCGAACACCATGGGTTTGAGAAGGGGGACTCACCACATGCCAGCCACTCGGTTTTTTTGTGCCCGGTTCTATTCGTGGCTTGGATGCCTATCTGATTCCCCAGTCAGGCCCTGCCTTGCCTTAAGGCCTTGCTTGGAAGCCAGGGAAAGAGGGTGGGGCGCTGGAGTGACTTTTTTTTTACCGGGGGGAAACCACCTGGTGAGGTGTTTGTGTGTGTTGTTTTTTCATATCTGTTTTTTTAGAAGCCCTCTATTTGGCACGTAAATATGTCTGAGTTGTTCCACATACGAAATCCTCATGCCAGATGGCAGTGGTTTTGTTCAGTGGTGACGGAGTACGGGGGAGGATTAGGAATCCCCCAATCGAACAACCCTGACCAAGACATGATATGAAGGGGCTTAGTGTTCATCGTTGTGCTATGTTCACTTGATTTGGTTTTCAAGTGTACCATCACATACGTAATTAGGCCACAAATAGCTCAGTGCCCCCCAACCGGGACCGGAAAAGTGGCGTTGATATCATATATGAGGATGTATTTGTTAGGACACCTTCCAGGGACATGTAGTCATTTCCCTAAGAAAGAAAGGGGTGGCACCAAAGAGCCGTGCTGTTGGGAATGCACTTGACTTGTCGGGTTGCATGCATCAGGTTCTGAGAATCGAAGAAGCCTGTCCCAAGAATTTCTACCGGAGGTTCGCAAGATGCCCACCGAGCATCGGGGGGTTGAGCTCACCTCCCCTGATTCAGGCATGAGCTGATCGCGCGGCAAGCGCCAGAACCTCGCCCCTCGGACAGCTTTGCTCACGGCAAGTGGGTTCGTGGCAGCCCCCAAAATTTCAGGTTGCGTTTGGCTTTCCTTTGCAACCGGCCCAAAGCAAGTACCAGCGACAACAACAAATACGATGTGTTTGTTCACCCAAAGGCTTTTTCCATGTTGGCTCCGTATTCCAGTGTCGGTTTTCTTTTGGTTTGCCTTTGGTTGGTTCCCTGTGGTTTCTGCTTGGTCTCCCTTTGGTTGGTTTCTGTATGGTTTCCCGCTGGTTGGCTTCTGTTTGGTTTCCTCTTGGCTAGTTTCCCATTTGGTTTTCGTTCGGTTTCGCAATAGTTGGTGGTTTCCCTTTGGCTTCCGTTTGGTGATTTCCCCCAATGTCTCATGTCCCTGACTGCCCTCCTATGTTCGCATGTTCTAGGAACGTTATTGAAATGCTGGTTCAAGATGTAGCAGCTTAAAGGGGAAGGCGTACTTAGTAAGTGGTTAGTAAGCCCGGTTACAACCCACTTACCATGGTTATAAGTCTCTTATGTTGGATTTTTTTCACCAGGCTTACTAACTGCCTAACTTCCCTGCCCCTTGAAGAGGTATGAAGAGGTGGTTGGCCCAACTCTTCCGCGTATTTCTGCGAGGCTTTTTCACCAATTCAGTTGACGACACCTCATGACTCCGGGATTCAATACTGCGTTCCCTGTAGTCTGGGTGAGGTTGGAAGCATAGATCTGCTTTTCGAAGAGAATGGGCAAGCGGTGAACTGGAAACCTCGCCTACAAAAAGCTTTGGCCAGGTCCCCATCCCAGCCATGCATCTCTGACCTTGGCCTTTTTGACACTGTTTGCTTGTGGGTGTTCCTTCATTTTGCTGGTGCGCAGTAGGCAATGAGGGAATGAACCTGAGGAAACCACAAGGAAAGGTTTATACGGGTCATTCCCTCGTTCCCTGCTGAGCACCAGCAAGTCATCCCCCGTAGCGGCAAACAAGTTTGCTTTTTGTTGGGAAAGTCCGGCTGCTTCTGAGCCCAAGGTTACCCCAATGATGGCTCAACGAAGGTGAATGGCAGCCGAGACAGGTGGCGAATCATTTAAACAGGTGACGGAGTTTGAAAGGGACCACTTTTTGGACGGGCCAGAACCTTCTGATTTCTCCCCAGAAGCTCTCAATTGGATTCTTGCTGAGGTCCACTGCCGGTAGGGCTGATGCATTTGCGGCCACAGGATTTGGCGTGAGCGCTGAAGTCAAAAGACGGGCTTCGGCTGTGACTGACATCTCAACCTTTGGATGTGAGATTTGTCTGGTCTCACGGTTTCAGGCAGAAACAACACAGCCCAACACAGGCTGATAAACTCGGGTGTGCGCCCTTCCAAACACTTTTCTTTGCAACGATGGCTGTATCTGTCAATTGTGTCCATGAGTCATGGCCGTATCCTGAAAGTGTTCTTTCTGTGGGTCTGTGAAGGTCAAAAAGACTGCTCGCAGACCCCTAGATCCCCCCCCCCCCCAAGGTTATAGCATCCCCCAAAAATAATGCATAAACTAAAGAACAGTTCTTCTTGTTCCCCGGATGTGGGGGGCAAGGAAATCATGTGTGAGGGGGCCACGTGTTTCCCCAAATTGACTGAGGATGCAGTTTTTTTGTCAAGATTCCCTATGTTTTACCCTCTTTGGAACGTCAATTGTCAGCTGTTTACTCCGATGCTCAGAGTTGCCGCATCAGCCTGTCGGCCATGGATTTTTGCCCGCAGTTTGCTACCTTCATTCAGGTCAGCCTCAGACGGCCTGGTGGACCACCAATTGATTCTGCCAAATTACAACCTAAGCGGAAGTGTGCAATTGACCTTGCACTCACGATGGAGTTGTTATTGTTTAACAGGATTTCCTTTCGTTCGGTTGGCGATATATGTCTTGACCAGAGCTTTGGTTTTCCCACCAGCAACCAATGGCTTCTGCAATTTCGAAGCACCGGGCCGGAGAACGGCGGCTTTCATCAACACCCAGGTGGGAGCTGAGGTTTCCGGTCAAGGTCAACTTGAAGATTGGCTGTTTCCGGCACCTTCCAGTCTTCCAGGAACCTTCTCTGAAAACCCGCCCCGAACCACTCCGGAGCTGTGGGCAAAGACGACCCAGAACACCTCCAGCAAAAACTGCGACTCGCTGAGTCTCAGCCATGGCGTTTGCGCGCCGCAGATCCGGATCCGGCTTCGCCTTGCTGGCCATTGCCTGGTGGCCAGGCGCTCAAATTGGAGACCTCTCCGTAGGAAAGCGCCCCAATGGCTCACAACGGCAAACGGCTTCCGAAGATTCTACTCGTTGTGTTTGAAGTTGAATAAACAATACCTGAACCTTTCTTGACTGGAGTAGCTCGCACATAAATCTCATATTGATATGGGTGTGTTCTTCTTTGGGGGTACGTACGCGCTTTGGGCTCATTTTAACACCATGTTTCCTCAGTCCAAAGCCAACCTTGTGACCTTTTGGCTTTGCCAGTTTGGTCCATTGAAAGAAAATGAGGCGTGGACAAACCATGGACAGACCGTGGAAAGTACGTTTAAAAGCGTGGAAAGCCTTTAAAGCACATGCAAAAGCGTGGACAGCACATTTAAAAGCGTGGACAACCATACCCCCAGCAGCCCACAACGCATGCCTGATCGGCATCGATGCCCCGAAGCCGTAGCTTCAGGCAACGCCCGCACATTGTGAGTCACATCATTCCCCCAAATGACACAACCACCCCCTCTGATTTATCCTGACCCTCTAGCCCTGGAAAGCCTTTTGCTTGCCTGGTGCAGTCTTTTAAACCAGAGGTCACAGGAAAGGATCGGAGACTGGCCGGGTCTGGTCGCTGTGTGTCGAAGTAAATAAATACATATATATATATATATATGAATATACACCCGTAGGATTCCAAAGGCCATTGAAAGAATTGTCGAGGTCGCCAGTTTGTTCTTTGCCGAAAGACCGTTTTTTTTCCGCCTGGCCCTGAATATCCAAAAAAAAACATGGTTTTTGTTGCCCAAGAATTGCTTAGGGTCAGGTCACTGACAGTCACGCCGCCCTCTGCAAATGATTGCACCCAAGCCACTCATTCCCCAGCTTGCCAAGCGTGTGGTCGCATCATTTTTCAAAATCGCCAGGTGTCCTGCCTGCCGAATATGCGTGCATAGATGCTTCACATGTTGGCACTGCAGTCCGGCTTTTTTGAAATGCTGCAAACTTAGTCAACAGATCAGCGCTTCCCCACCCAGAACTTCTTTGGAGGGCACGTAAGGGACGCCAGTCACGTGTTTTTTTGGGTTCGGGGGGGTGGCTCGTGAGACGCTATCCCGTGCCTGAGGCTGAGGCCGGAGACCGAACTCATCGCCTGGATGGGGCGGCGAGCCTTGCCTGTAATACGTGTGAGGGGGCCTTTGAATGTTGTGACCCCATGTTTTGATCAAAGTAGCAGCCTACAATCATGGCGTGCAGCGGCCATGGGGACCCACCCTTGTTGCCTCGTTGCTTGTACCCCAAAAGAGAACAGAAGGCGGGCTCTCTGTTTTTCCCTTCAGTGGGTCTCAGTGGGAAAAACGGTCTGGTTTGGCCATGATCAATGTCACAAAGGATCTTCGTCCCTTCCCTGTAGCCTTGGCAGGATCAGCCTCACCCGCCCAAGTTGTCTCAATGAACCTGCCCCCCTGCTGGTCTTCCCATGTCATGAAGCCAAAACAAAGATGGTCTCAGTTGCTCAAAGCGAAAGGATCACTTGAGCTTTTGGCTTTCCTGTTTCCATATTTTTGTAAAGGTCACACACGGTTAACATCGGTTAACCTTGTATTCCCAGGTCCTTTGGGCAAGTGGGCTTGTGGAACCCCACAGGCGCTTTGACGCTTTGACGCTTTGAACTCCGTACCAACTGGGAACATCTCCACATGGCACCCGATACATCTGTGACGGCCCCCAAATTTCTGGGTGCTAAGCGGCCAGCCCAGAACCAGCGAGTTCGTGATGTAGGCCTTTAGGGATCCAGGTCTTGCTTCAGGTTTTGGAATACAGACGTTTGCAGATGTATTTCTGATTGTCCCATTGGGCGCATGGGGCACTTAAATGTTCCTCACTCGTTCTTCAATACCCTCCCCCTAACAGAGGGTCCCTTGAAAAGCAAATTGATCTTCCTGGGAGGCAGAGCAACCAAGGAAATGAAATGAAAACGGTGCCTTAGGTAGTCTTCCAAAAGCAATGTCCACTTCCATGCCTGTTGGAGACGGTCATGGGACCACACATGGGCCGCTAATGGCCGCAGTGCACGTATGTCAGACCGTCAGACCTTGGCGAAGTCCGGAGGATTTATATGGCCGGTCAACACCAATGGTACCATCTTGGGGTAGGTGAATTCACCACCCATTTTAGAACCTATTTTAGTGGTTGGATGTGGATGTTCACTGGGACGATTTGGGTTTTGACCCCCCATATCTCAACTCGCCGGTCGCCACCGCAGGCGCTGCAGGTGCCGCCACTCTGTCGCTCCTCACGCTGCGGCCGTTGCCATGCACTGCAGAGGCGGGGTCGACGGAGGGGCCGGGCGGCCAGAAAGGCGCGAGGCAGCGGTTGTTTGAACATGTTTTCAGTGAAACTTGAGTGGAAAACGTGGTTTGAAGATCATTTGATACCAAGCGGGCCCCCATAAAGTCACAAACTAATCATAGGAATGGCGCCTTTAGCTTGACAGGAAGGGTCATTTCCCACAAGGGAAAGTCCGCTGGTACATCCCGCTTATTACAATAGATCACAGATGTTGATTTTGTATGAACAACCGCCCAAGTCACCTACATTCTGAGGGGCATCCTTTCTGAGATGTGGGGAAGCATGTGTTCTTGCAGTTGCACGAAAGTACTTGGCACAATTGCATCATGTTGGTGTTCTCATCCCCCTTGCTTACCCACATGAAGAGAATTCTGATATATAACTTGGATTTCCTCCTGGGTGCAGAGGAAAGGTGAAAGCGGGGACCCGCGACGGAGTTCTCGGCCACATTGTCAACTGTTTGGTTGCCCCCCTAAAAAGGAGGAAAAGACAGAGACGTGTAGGATTTACAGCTTGCAGGAAGTTAGGGGGAAACACAGCATCCATCAATTGAATCTCCACTTGGGTAAGAGGAATGACCCCTTTGTAACCTGTGAAGGCGTGCCGGAAACGGTTGCTGGGAGGTATTGCCTTACTTGAAAGGGAGACGCTCCGTCATTTTGAGCAAGTTGGTTGATCGGAGTTGGGAAGGCACGTGACCCTTTCGAATTTCACCCAGCCCTTCCCAGATAAAACAGGATATGAACCCTGCTTGATTACATGAACGTGGAAAAACACTTGCAACCCTTCTGCTAGCCTGTCATTTCCTGCCCCCACGCCACGTTCTGGTTCGAACCTTTCCGGAGGGCCTAGGTAGGGGGACAGGAAATAGATAATCAAGAGGGAAACGGGGTCTTACTTGTCAAGTGACACCCTGAAAGTTGCCTGGAAATTGTGGTTTTGCAGGGTAGCCACCCCCAAAGTTTGGACTCATAGGACAGCTGGGCCAATAGCCGAAGGCAGGCGAAGCATGTGCAATAGGCTTCGCCTACCACGAGTTGAGTTTGCCTTGGAAAAACCATGTGTTGGACCAAGCATTTCACCTTGCTGAAATGATGGGGCCCCACAAATCGACACAGAATCACTTTTTCACTTTTTATGTTTTATTTGTTTAAAAAAGAAAGAAAGAAACAAACAACTAATAATAAAAGCTGGATATGCAAGGGGTGCTTACCCCCCCCCCTGTCGGGAGGGAGCATTGGTAAACTCCGCGTGGGCATTAAGCAGCACGTCCTTCAAAAGAAGGTACCTTTTCTGCCAAACAATTCCTGTTTGTGATAAGGTACGGGAGGGGAATGAAGAAAGGAGATGCGTTCTTGTTTAGGAGATGTCCGCAAACGGAAACACGTACGAATCGCCCCCCACGGCTTGGAGCAGGGTTTCACGGTGAGACTTTGGAAGAGCTAAGTTCTACTCGGCCCGGGACTCCATGTGGCCACGCCCAGGGTGACATCCCCTGGGCTGAGCCGAAGCGCCAGAAGACCTCCACAGAGCAGCCCGGTGCGACACTTCCCCGAGCGATCGATTTTTCCGGTGCTGTTGGAAAGATGTGTGATTGTTCGTCAGGGTTCCTTACAAGGACAGGGGGATCCTCCAAATCCGCCTGTTGGGGTGTTTTTTTTCAGTGGTGCAGATGTCTCCTTTGAGGGATCTGGGTCAATATGGGTGGTATGACCTTCAAATCTTTGCTGGGTTCCGCCATGGTTCCGCCAACCCCCTGGATGTGCAACCACTGCCACTATGGACATGAAACCCGTTACCCTCTGGGTAGTGGTTTGGAGATAGGAAAAAAATGCAAGCCAAGCCGTCTACTTTGGAGACAGTCGCATATGGCGTTCCGCGTACAAGAAGTTCACGTGAGCAATGCAAAGTCGGGATCAAGGGCCAGCCCCGGCAGGGGTGATTGCTTCCTGGCGTCGTGGTGACTGGCGTCGTTTTTTTGTTTGGGGGCAGCCATCTTTTTTGACCAGGTTTTGCTTGTGTTGCTCATTTTATCCTTTTTGTTGCTACCGGAGAATTCTTACTGCCCAAAGTGAACACGTTGCTCTTTTTCCTCGTCTTGTGGCTGGTGGATGTTCCCATGAAACCGCTCGGTGTTGTTTTGAGGACGGGACCCTAGGGTTCAAAACACATGGAGACTTCGCTCGGGACCGTTCTTGACGCCTCCGAGAAGGTGAGGGTTTCGACCTGTTTTGACGACACCGAGGCAACTTGCGGAGGACTTCACTCGCGCCTTCCAGCGCACCCAGTGGGGCGTCAACGGGAAGGTGCAGCCACGCTTCTTCGCGGACGGCTTCGTCTTCCGCCACTCGCCACGACGAGCTCACCATATGTTGGGCCGGGCCAGTTCCTGTAGAGTTAGTGCAACCAACCCTTTCAACAATAAAGATACTCAGGGATCCCCTATTTCAGGATTTCAATCGCTACTGTCAGCTACAATTTGCAGTTTGGTGTGGGTCAAGCATGGTGAACCTCAAGGGTCGGCCCTTGACCAGGTTCGCTGGACCATTGGGCCTCAGATCACCAAGTAAAGTAACATGTGAAGATTCACCTTGAATCTTCAACTTAGGCTCCCCAAGGGGCTTCCACTTCCAAAACGAAGCGATTGACTGCCTATGGTAGATTGTCCAGGCCGAAGATCCAAGGTGACAAGAAGACCATGGGAAGCTGACTTAGCTTGGTGTTCATCTTTACTGGTTTGAAAAGCAAACCAAAGGGAAGCCATGTTTGTGTGTCGCTCAATTCCAGGAGCCACTTGGCTGCTGGTTCTGATGGTTAATTTCAAACTTCCATTTGCACAAGCATATTTGTTATTTGTTCCCTGTAATCTATCACTACTGGAAACACATTTAATTTTGCCAAAGGACGAAAAGGCAAATTTATGGAGGTCAAGCGCGTTTTTCCCGGAAATCGCGAAGGCTTCCAAGCCGCTGTTTCTTTTTCCGCAGCTTGCACACAGAAAAGCGCGCAGGCGACCCGGATGTCACCACGAAGGGCCTCCAGGCCTACTCCAAAGGGACCGGCGCTGTGCTGTCCAACTGCCGGGCTGATGCCATCGCCGCTTGCTGGACAAACCATTATTTCCCGAAAATTGGTGGAAGTGGCGAAACCGTTCTAAGGGGACAGTAGTCTTCCAGACTCTCATGTCCAATTGGTTGATTGTTGGAAACGGGTTGGGTTGGGGTTTAGGATTTAGGGGTAAGGGTGTGTAGTGTGTTTGTTGGCACGTCATGCTGCTGTTGTGTCAGGGCTGCAAGTGAGAAATCAGAAGCAGATCGAAGGGGCAAACCAAATGAGGAACGTTGACTTGAATATGATACTAGTGAGGGTTGTGCATTTTAAACTACCCGATTGCAAAGCTGTTTGGCACCCTGGAGGTATAATATGTCTCTTGTTGGTATGCCAAGCCTGTCCCACCGGGGCAAAGGACCAATGAATACATCCTCCGGGGGATGTCAACCCCATGGCATGCGGTTACCGGCCTAGGACGAGTGCGTGTGGAATCCTATGAACTCGTTGCCCGATCAAGGACTTGACATGGGGGTTGATCGAAAGGTCCTTTACATTGGATTACCATATGGGGAAGACCCGAAAAGTAACCCATGGCCATTTGCGGGCCGGGAATATTGATCAACCCGTACATGTGTTGGTGCCGTTGTCATTGACATGCAAATATGGTTGGACGGTGATTTTATGTGGCCCCCACCCCCTCAAATAAGGAATTGGGGGAGGGGGGTGACCCCTGGAATTAGGGAAATACTTCCATTTGCTGAAGAATATGTTTTCTATTTCCCCTGTTGGTTTTAAAGGGAATCTATCACTACTGGAACTACTTTTTCTTTTTTTCCAGGGGTCTTAACCAAATGGACGAATATGCTTGGACAGTGGTTTTACGTGGCACTAACTCTACCGCTATTGGGTCGGATTCTTTAGACTTTAACTTTTTGGATTCCCCTCATAATTACTTCCTTTTAGCCAGCAAAAAGTTAAACACTTTTTGCTGGCGGATCTACACCACCCAAGCCAATGACGCTCACGATCCCTTTTGGGGGAATGGTTTCACTTTGAAATCACCCAACTACTGACATGGGTGCCTTGTTTTTTCCAGGTACCCCTTTCGGAGCGTTGTTTTTTTTAGGGGAACGCGGGTGGACAAACCACTCGCCCACGCTCCCTGGGCCGAGGACGTGAAGGTTTTGTCCCCGGACAGCTTCGCCATCCGCTGGCGCATCGCGGGCACGGCCAACGTGCCCTTCCCCGGCCTCAGGATCAAGCCCTACATTGCGGGGCCCTCAGCCTTTCGGGGCTTGGGCGTCCTTTTCGGGAGTTTGCATGGTTGTTGTTGGGAAACATTTTAGATTTGTGCTTCTTGTGGTTTAGTGGTTGAAATCCCAGCTTAACTGCTAAAACTTAATTTTTTTGCGCCCCTTCCAACGTCAACCAATTCTGAGGGAGTCTCCAAAATGTTTGCTTTTGAGGGCCGGGGGGGCCCCAGCCCTAACTCCCAAAGCTCGAGGGCCGGGGGGGCCCCAGCCCTAACTCCCAAAGCTCGAGACCCAGTTCCTCTGAGGAGTTGTGCTTTAGGTTTATTTAGGTCTTCTCCAGGCGCGCCTGTTTGCTTGGGTGAACCAGACCCCCTTCATGTTGCATGTGAGGATTGTTGTTTGTGCTTGCTGCTTTGACTTTTCTTGGGTTTTGTTGGCCTTTCGGGCTCGAAAAGAAGAAGAAGAAACATCGACCCTTTGAAGGGGTCGCCGGGACCCGGCGCAAGGGTCGATCCGGTCCATGAGACGCGAGACGCTTTTCCTGTTTTCAGTTCCGTAAGCTAGTTCTTTGGGCGCCTTGCTCAAAACGAGACTCGCTTTGAGAGAACTTCATGGTCGATACCAAGGAGAGAGTGCTTGTCACTGGGGAAGTACTTGCACTCCTGGTATTCGCCTGGTATCCCGATGGTATTCCCCCTGGTATTCTTCTGGTATCCCCCTGGTATCGGTTGCACAAATCACTGCATACATGGTTCTGCTGTTGACGTTTTGCAGAGCCTACATGGTTAGGGCCTTGGACCCTCGACAGGGGCCCCCATAGAGGATTCGTGGTTTTGTTTGCCTTCGGCCCATTGCCAAGATCGGTATCACAAGCACATCTTCCACAACCATGGGCCAGTTGTTCAGCGGTTTTTATTAGTTTGGTAGGTTTCACCGCAAATGGTCAACCCACAAACGGCTTCCTTTCTTCCGCTAGGGTCGCTTGTTGGAACACTAGATAACTGGGATCATAGTCATGAGTCATGAACGCGTTGACTTTCATCAGGGGTGTTGGGGGGATGAAACGCGCCCCGCGTTTCATCCGCCAGGTTGGTTTGGCAGACAACGGACCCATGAAATGTGATATCCTCGAAATTGCCCTCTACGTGGTTTGAAGAGGAGCCACCCAAGAAATATGTCTGCAAACAGCCCACTTTCCGGGACTGGAGTCGACATGAACAGCAGCTTTGCCCTCTCACTTCGGCCCACTTAAAGGGGCGATCGGGTACTCAGTAAGCTGGCAAGCCTGGTTATAACCCACTTACATGGTTATACGTCTTCGTTCAGTGGGTTATAACCAGGCTTACTAACCACAAACAAGGGGCCTGCCCCTTTAAGCAGGAGATGTTGACACCCGCCGCTTTTGCGCTTCAAAGAGCACCACGTGCTAACTTGAACTAGGAGTCCATTTGATTGCATATTTGTAGCTTGAATTGATGCAATTGGGAATGTAACCTTCCATGTAACTCAACTATTTGTAGCTGGAATTATTCTACCTTTTCCATGATTTGGGGATTTGCATTTGGAGGTAATAAGTCTAATGTCGTGAAACCCTTGCGGAGGATACCCCTCAAGTTCACAGATCCCATTCGCCGATCTGGCCATGAATCCCCCTCACACATGGTTGGTGGATGACAATGCGGATGTCCGCAAGTTTCAGCCCATGAAGAATGACACATTTTTTGTGGAAGGGGGCCTGGGGGCGTGTCATTTTTTTGAGGGCCCCCGTTTTCAGGTTGTGTCCAAGGAAGTTAAAGGGGAACCCAGCCATGAAAGACCAAGCCAGCTCCCACGCAAACTTGCTGGTGCGACATCGGTGGGGAATGAGAAATGGAAGGAACCTTTCGGGATTTCCTTAAGCAAACCACCAGCAAGGGATTGTCCATATATATATATATATATACATATACTTCTGATTTTCGGGGTCATTCCATTTCTCAGGGCCCCTGCATCTCCCTTTGCGCAATGGGTGTGTCATTTTACAGGGACCGTTTTTTTGGGGAAGCTTCCAAGAAAGAAACAGAGATGGGCAACCCGCAAATGGACCACCCCAGATCCCACCTCTAACCAAACCGGGCGGGGCGAATCACCGGACTTAGGTCACCAGCGCCTTCACGGTGGACTCCGACGGCCTAGTGGACTCCGAGACGGCCACTCGGCGCGGAAAATGCGGGAGGCCGGCAGTTGCAGCCACGGGCCCCGTTAGAAAGAAGCGGCGGGGAAAAAAGAAAATGGAAAAAGGCCCAGCGTGTCGGAAGATATCGTGTTTTTGTCCCCTTCTGATGTTTCAAGGGAATCTAGCTGGGTTGTAGGTCATTTTTGTACTGGTATGTTTCCAGGAGGCTTCAGCAAACTGAGGTGTGTCTCCCTGTGTGCCCTGGAAAGTAAAACCAAGCAACCCAGCTTTCGCTGGGTGCTAAATAAACCATATCATTTTGCCCGAAGGAACCCTCAAGAGGATGGATCATTCATTTGATGCATCATTCCCCCCATGTTTTTCCCGAAAGGCCTCCCAACTCTCTAGTACTTGTTTTTTTGTTTTGTTTTTTCTCGGAGCCCGAGGACAGCTTCTCCATCCCCAGTTGGGACATCCTTCTCTCCGCCGCGGCTGATTGGTTGCCCGGCTTGGCGCCCCCCGAGCCGCCCCTGCAGTCCCCCTTCGCGTAAACTGCCTCAAAGGCAGACCGGCGCCCAGAGACACGAGGAATGGGCGTGTCTTTGTTGAGGCTGGCGTCTGTTGAAGTCATGTGGCTATGGGTCAAAATTAAACCACCAGGGGACCGCAGGTTTTAAATTTTAGTCCATGTTTCCAGGATTCCATTTTGGGTACATACTTTTGACCCACAGACACATGTTGTTTTTGTTTTATGGAGGGCCCGGGACCCATTTGAGGACGCACAAAGTTTTGTACGCTTTCGGAGGAGCTCACTTCCTCGAAACCCACATGTTTCTTCTCATTTGCCCGGCCCAGGTTAGATCAATTTCTGTGTGGCGAGCCTTTTTCTACTTTGTGGGGAAGTGAGCTGAAGACTAACATTTGCTTAAAGGCAGCTCACCTTGTGGTGTATGCTTTGTCCAGAGCATGTTTGTTTTTTTGGTTCCGCACGTTGCTATGTCTGGTATACAATGACCCTGTTTAGCGCGGCGATTAGCGCGGCTTTGGCCGATGAAAAAGCGGCACTTCGAGCAGTGCGTGCCTGGCCAAGGGTTTGGTTGAGGGGGCGGGTTAGAAGCACCTCCCCTACTGTTTGTCCTTCTTTCATTTTATTGGGCTAAACAGTTGGAACTTCTTTGGTTTGGGGGGGAGCGGGTTAGAAGCAAGGCACATGGGGCTGAACTGTTGGAACTTAGGTTTCCTTCCGTGGGGCTCGGGCAAGCATCCGGCTCTTGTCTTAGCCCTCCGAAAGTAGCACCCGTTGACATCTTTTTTGATTGGCTTGACCACTGACATCTCACCAACCTGCTTGGTGGACAGAACTCGGTGTTCCTAGATCAGATCGCCAGAAGTCTGTCAAAACAAACAAAACTGCTCACCTAGACTCAGTTCCATGTTTTTTGCGGTGTACTCCTGAGTTGTTCGTTGCGCCAAGTGTTGCGTTTGCGCTGTTTTCGTTGATGGCTGCACAGAACATTTACTTTCTTGCTGACACATCAATTGTTTGCCACACAGACCGGCCAGCGCATCTGAAATTGCTAAGCCTGGCCAGCCTGGCCGTTTGAGTTTGTCTCAAAATAGGATTCAGACCCCTTTATTGTGGGAATTTAACGGGAAGCCACAAGGAAAGCAACCATTCCATGGGGCCCTACAATTTTTGGGAGATTCCCCCCCCCATTTAGCCGAGGACCTTGACTTGTTCCAAACCCAAATTTACTTCTTGGTCTTCATTTGACCTTCCGTTTATGGAGCCCAACAAAAGCGGTTGGAGGTCAAAAAGAACAAACTCAGTTTCTGTGAATGAACTCGCTTACCGTGCTTTCTAATTGAAGCTGTTTAAAAAAAAGAAATAATAGAAAGACACTGCCCGCTGTTGAAGTCTGCCTTTTGGCTAGGTCCAAACGGCCGGCTGAACGGCGGGAAGAGACAGGGGTCCTGCCCCAAACGGAGGGTCAACACGCTGCATAAATGCAAGGCTTTCGCGGAAACATCACAGGCGACAGCCTTTGTTGGGAATCTCAAGGTAAGCTTCCCATTTTTTTTCCGGGCTTGGTATTCTTGAACCAGCAATCCAGGATTAAGAATTGAAGTCTGATATAATTTGATGGGGTTGTCCATCAAGAGGATGATGCAAACTTCCAATTCATCCGGAGAGCAGTGCCGACGAGGGTCGTGCAGTTCAGTCGGTAAGGGTAAAGGGCTTTGCCAACTACCCTTGGAGGAATGTGAACGAGACACTGGGGCGAAACCTTTGGACAGCCCTCCTGGACAAACATGGCTCCCTGGGTTCGGGTTCCCCAACGTTCCCCTCTAAGGGAGGTTTTCAACATCACTTCTCGGGCCAATTTAAACACAATTGCCTTTCGGATGATGTAAATATCGTGAGCCCTGTTGGCTTTCCTTTTGGTATAAAACTTGGATCAGACCAAGCTTCTACAAACCATACCTGGCGGCTTGCTTTGAGGGCCTATGGAATTTCCTGCCCAGCTTTGGCTCAAGCCCGGCATGGGCCAAAACGGCTTAAACAACTAGTTGCCATGGACATGTTCGAAGGAAAGCCCAACTGTTGTTTGTTTCAAAAACGGGTCTGGATGGGTGTTGAAGGAACAAGTGGGGAAACCCAAACGGAACCCACCAACTTGACAGTCCCTGAGTTAGGAAAAGCGCCAACAAGAGGATGTTAAACAATAATGTTTACATGTTAATTTTGACTTATCTGGGTGCGATTTGAAAGCGTTGGAGCCTTTGGCGGACATCATTTAGGTCGTGAGCCATGTCCACCAACCACTGTTGGGGGTTCCCTGCTCGACTTCAGAGCCATATAAACACGATTGAACCGGTGAGAAGCCCTATCTTTGCCCAGCAAGCATTTGCCGTCATGGGCTAGATCGCCACACTCCAGTAGGACGCATGGCAAACTTCAAGCGTTTGGTCTCCTTTTTGCTTGGTTTGCTTAAAAAATAGAGGGCGCGGCCCTGGTTTAGATGGTTTATTCTGTTTACCAAGGCCATCTATTGTTCCAAAAGGCCACCTATGTTTGCGACGGCTTTCATCATGCTAGTTCAGCCCCCAGGCAGCTTCAACTTTCTTGTGCCAGTAACATCGGAAGATCATCCAGAAAGGGAGCCTCAAACAAGACACGCTCAAGTATGCGAGACAAGGCAGCAACTTGCCATGGCGGCTTGAAAGGCCAGGGCAGATGGTGACCGCATGCAACCTGGCCGCGTGAAGAGAGCACTTACCCTTCATGTGGGCATGGGTCAAAATTAAACCACCAAACAGCCGCTGATTTTAGTCCATGTTTCCATTTACCAGGGTTCCATTTCGGATACCTATTTTTGACCCACAGCCATGTAAGGGTACTAATAACGCTCGATGTCTTGATGTGCAGCGGATATTTGCTTGTCCAACGAATTGCTTGCATGCAGCAAAGTTGGTTTGAACTTTTGTTGCGTTGGTGAGTGGGCAACTTGCAAATGAGTTCAAACTACAGCAGTGATATGCCTGTTTGCCAAGCCACGGGCAAAGTAGCAGTGCTACTTTTTCGTCAAGACAGGAATCACGAACCCATCGGGACGTGCCCCCACCATGTTTCAATCCCTGGCAATTGGGGCACCAATATAGATATGTGTGGCATTTGAGTTCTCGGCTCAAGCTCAGATTTGTTTTGTCTGTTTCGTTCTTGCAACACATGTGACGGATGTTCTGGGGAACATATCGGCAGCCCTGCGCATGCTGTGTTGTTCACATGTATTCAGGCTCACGTGCTCGCCCAGGACAGATGCCGAAGAGGTTGAGGGAGCTTTGGTCGACTGGATCAATACCTGCCCCTCAGACTGAAGCCTGGGTGCCGGTTCGTGAGAACATCGACTGAGCTTTTGGTTTGCCCTTTGCATTTGTTCAGTCAAGACTCCAATCATCGGATGCATCAACCAAAGAGGAAGCCCCCTTATCGTTCTTTGGTGGGTTTCCTACATAAAAGGGTTAACCAACCACAAATCCACTGAATAAAATCAGCTTCTATTTGGGTTCTCCCAAAACTCGAGAACCGAACAACCAAAAAGCTTGCGGTTTCTTACTTCTCCAGTTGGTGGACTCAGCTTTTGGGAGAGATCGTTTTATTGGTAATCCCAAGGCTTTTGTTTGACCACTCCACTCAGGAAGTCTGGCATCTCCAGAATTGATCCATTTTTGGGGTATGCAACAGGTGAAACTTCACGATCCCCCAATCCCATTGTGGGCCTAATCAGGTCTATCGGGGTCCGTTTTGGGCCCCTACAAGGAGATCCCACGGGTCCTTTACCACCCTAAGCTCGCCTCTCAGCCGACGCGGGGGACCCTTGACCACCATAGGCTTGCTTGTCCAATGTTTCTTAGTCAAGGTTCTATTTCCAGGCTCTTTGGGTAAGTGAGTACAAATGAGGTTTGGGTGTATCCCAGGTGTACTTAAAGGGGCAGGAAGCCTGGTTGTAACTCACAACAGCCATACTTATAAGTCTCGCAAGTAGGTTATCTCACCAGTCGTAACCACTTACCTGACGTACTCGATCACATGGCGCCCCTTTAAGTACCCTGCCAGGTTTTCCCTTCCCTCCAGCCTTCCTTTGGTCGCTGGCGGCTTCGACGTTGTCGTCGCCCAGGTTTCCCCGACGCCGATGTCGAGGAGTTCGACGACCTGGCGGATGGCGCGATCCTGGCGGCGCTTCGACGAGCAAATTTGGCCCGAGTGAAAACCGCACTCCCGTGGAGTATCCTAAATGGGGTGGTCGTTTATGTCTGGGGACCCCCTCAACATGGTGGTTCATGTTGGCCCCAGATTCGTCAACCCACAAACAGCAGCCTCCAACAATCATGGCTTGGTGCAAACACACCCTGCACGACCCCAGTGACCATGGGAAATGGGGACCCAGCCTTGTTTCCTTGTTGCTTTTTGCAATTGATGTTGGCCCCAGATTAATCAACCCCGGTTTATGAATAGAAGGGTGAGGCCCCCCTCCTCCAAAGTGGTCCCCTCCTCCAAAGTGGTCTGATTCCCCACAAAACCCAGGGACACCCCCCTACAAACAAACTGGGGCTGATGAATATGGGGTCAACATCATCAAAAAGACGAGCCACCCACATGTGTTATCCTGTTGGTGTTCAATTTGGAATCTATCACTGGAATGTTCTCTTTTTTCCCACGGCACAGTACGCTTCTTTTCCTTTTTTTGACCCCTCAAAATGCTGGTTTCAATCTTAGTGTCCTTCTGCAACCATGAGCGAATGGTGGATTTCAACTCACTCCCTCAGTGAGGAGTCCCTATATATTTCCTTCAAAGCCATTTTAAGCATGACCTTTTGCAAGGGTAGCTCAGTTTCCCGCTTTGATGTTTAAAGGGGAAGTATCGGGAGCCCTTGGTGGGGGGTTGCCACACTTTTCATAGTGTAGATGTACTTACGTCCCAAGTTCCTGGACGTTGGTTCGGCCCTTTTGGGAACACCATTTTACTGGCCAACAAAGAGACTGAGCTCGTTGCGGCCAACGCACTCAGGAATTGAGCTCATCAGTTTAATCCCCGGGTTGCCCCTGAGCCTGTAAAGATGACTCAATCGCGAGTGTTTGGAGCTTTGGTTATTGAGCCTTTCTTTCTGGGGACAAACTCAGCAATGCTGTTCAGTCAACAGCTCATATTCCACAGCCCATTTTATAAGGGAAGGGTTTGCCCAAAGTGATCCTCCCCATATTCCCAATGAGGACTTTCTGGGGTGTGCCCCTCAAAGGCGGATACCTTTCTCCAGAAATGGCGCGTTCTATGGATTAAGCAGGGGTCAATGCCATCAGGGCGAACATCACCTCTCAAAGCTCCAAATCACCTTGGCCTAGTTAGTGTGTCAATGGTTCCCAGCAACAAGCTGGAATTTGTTTCCAGTCTTGAATTGGCCCTGCACAAAATGCGTCATGGGCTGAGTTGAGACCACTAAATTTGAACCCCACTTGGGGTGGATGTTCCCTTCGGTTTTTAGGGTATCCTTCCAGCACACTTTACTTCAGCAAAACTGACCTTTGCCGCTTCAGTCCAAGTTTGATCATATTTTTTGACACGTCTCAAAGGTTGACCTTGTTTGGTGCTCAGGAAACACATTCTATTTCAAGCATGACACATGAAGCAGGATCCACGCAAATGTATTGATTGACAGGGGGTGTTCCATTTAAGACTTTGCATTTTTTAGTAGGTGTTTTAGGGTTTTGGCTCTGTTCATTTTTAGTTGGGTTTTGGTTTGCAAAAAACCAACCGTGCAAAACGACCTGGCAGCCAAAAAAAAGGTGATGCTTAGACCAAACCGGAGGTGAAACAGATCAAGAACCCCAATCCAAGCCCCCGGTTTCAACTCCGAGGACACGTTGCAGCTCTTCGCGCCGGAGGTGGACCCCTCCAACACCGCGGCAGGCAGCGGGGGTTTGAGAACGGAGGTCACTTCGCATGTTGCGTTCAACGGCAAAAACGGGTCAACCGCCTAGTTTGTGGCAAGCTCAGCTGACCCATATAGGAGCTTATGAGAAAGATCCGTTTCCTGATCCCTTGATCCAGCTTTCGGAAGGATAGTAGCATGTGCATCTCCCCAAAAAGTGAGACAAGGTCCCAACAAAATGAGACAGGCCTAGGGGCTGCCCATGTCCCCCCCTGTTCAATGTAAACGTGACCTTTTGGGCGGACCGGGGAATCTTGTTGGGGTTTGGGAAGGGCGACGAAAAGGAACCAAGGAGACTGGACGGTGAAAGGAAGGGAGACATGGTTCGGATGCATATGACGCAAATGATGACACAACGCAACAAACGGAGAGAATAGCCTTCTCCTTCTGGTCGTTCGTTTGGAGTTCCTATGCCACGCGATGGAATCCTTACTCAATTTTGATGTTTCTTCTTGGGTGTGAAGGAAATGGTGAGAAGAGATGCCATTCCAGCGAGTCCCTTCACTGGTGAAGCCCATTCTTTGCACCATACTCCAAATCAGCAGACAACTATTTGGTGGTAAGACTCACTCATGTAAAGCAAACAAAAAGAAAGCAAGAAATAGATCAGTGACAAAACGATGGATTTGGAATTCATATATGACTTCTCTTTTTATTGATACTCTCCTTCTCCATCTTCGTAGCACAACACCGTCTGGGTCCCTCAGCTTTGGTAACTATTTGATAAATATGTTTGCACGTGCTTGGTTCGAGCATCAATCTTCAACTTAGGAAGTTCAACCTGTTTCCTAGTTGTTCAGTGAGCTTTAGTCTTCAAATCCTTTTTGTACTCTCAGACTAACATGGAAACTCCCATGAAGACCTTTGCAAATAGCACCAAGTCTTTCAAAGGGCTTCTGGGAGCTTCCATGTTCGCCTGGGGGCGGGTATCGGTTCGGGACTCACAAACGGAACCGACAAGACATGGATAGAGGGGTGCGTGCGTGCTTGAAAAAAGCCGGGAAACCCATCCGCCTGTTGATGTGGAGGATACCCTTTGGTTTGGTTTCAAGGTAACCAAAAAGGAGGAACTTGAAGGAGAAGGAGCCCCTAAACCATAAGATCCCAAAGACAGTTGTAGAATGATTCGTTATGCTTGTTGTAGGGAGAAGGGGCGCTGAACCCTTGTTGCTATCCCGACAGCTCGGCCTTTCATTTCCCTCTGCGCCATGTGCTTGCGTCGTCTTTTTTCCGCTTGCCTCTTGTCGTAGGCAGCGCCAAGCTGCTGCACGGTTGCCTCAGCAGCTACTTCGGCCAGCGCATTTCGCTGCCGAGGCCGGGAAACTTCTCGGACACGGGTGGGCAACAAACTGGTTTCCACCAAACCCTGACCCGGCCCCTGTTAAACGGAGGTCTACCCGAACAAGTATGTTATAGTTTGGAGTAGGCTCTATGGAGCAGAGTCCTTGTACTAAGCATAGAACCACTGCAACGATCCTTCCCAAAAAGTGACTAAAATCCAGGAACTCACGGAGCGAGCCATAAGCGAGACCCTAACTTTTGGCCGTAAGTTGAGGTCTTGGAAGCTAAGGGAAAAGGGTTAGGGGAAGTCCAACTCACAAACCAAAGTCTGATTTCCCACGACCATTGGGGGGCGCTAGCTTTCTCCGTGCGTTTGGATATGGGTATCTCCTGGAATTTGTGAATTGCTTTTGATCAGTTCACAGGATATCCCAGATCTGAGTAATCCTTTGCAGGAGTCGACTCTATTTGACTGGTCCCGAGTCCAAGCCTGAAGCAGACCTGGGGTGTATCGTTTTTGGACGAAGCCGGCCCTGAAAAGCCCTCACAAGGAGATAGCCGTGCCCACTTCTCTCCCCCTCTGAGCCTCCAAAGTTCCTAGAATAGGGCGAACCCCAACCCCTTAAACCCTGGACCCAGACAAATTGCTAAAATTCACACTTTGCTTCCGAGTCCACTTAGATTTAGCTAGGTGAGCTAGGGTCTCACCGGCCGGGGGTCTCCAAACAGGCCTTAACTTTCGAGGGCCTCCTTTGGAGGGCAAGCTACTTGCAGGGCCAGGGTACGTCAGGTATGTGGCTAGTAAGCCTGGTTAAAACCCACTTAGGAAACCTATAACCATGGTAAGCGGGTTTAACCAGGCTTGCAAACCACTTACTAAGTACAATGTCGTTTTAAGTTTGGTCTCAGCTTCAGTCTTGGCTTGGATTTCCCTCCCACCAATTAGCACCTGACTTCGGGAAATCGGCTCTTTAAAAGGAAAACCAAAACTGAACCCCTCGAAACTCGAAACGTCAGCTTCCGCGTGAAAAGGGTCGGAGGGTACAGACTTTTGGTCTCACAAGTCCTCAGGGTCTTATCCTCAGACTTGGCCTTATTTGGGGGAACTCCTGAGCTTTGGAGGGTGAACACGTTTTCCACATCTGAACTCGCTTTTGACGGGCGCTGTGCCAACAGTCAGGGAGCCCTTAGGTAGTTTGGTTGGGGTTTGGGTTTAGCCACCCCCAAACCTCCAAACCACCAATCCGAAACAATGCCCCAAATTTACCCTCCAAAGGGGCCAAATGTTGGTGATTATTCTTCCATTTGCTTAAGAATATGTTTATTTTCCCCTCTTGGTGTTGAAGGGAAGTCTATCACGCCTGGACATATGTGCTCATGTTTGTTCCCGGGGACTTGAGGAAAATGGGGGTATTCCCTATCTAGGGGCACCTTCCCCGCTCTGTCCAAAGATCCTTCTTTGGAAGAAACCTCAAACCAAGGGAAACCCGAGGTTTGTGAAACGAACGATGGTTGAAAAGGACGGAAAAGGAATCAAACCCTAGACGCAAGGATTGTCCGGGAATTGGAGTGGAGATATTCCCTACATTCTAGGGGTACCTCCTGGAATGGGAGGGCTGAACCAGGGCTCCTTAAAAGATACATGTTGCAACCATTGGAAACATGTTGCTTTTTCCTCCAAAATAAAGTTGGAAACCACCACAGGCGATGTTCAGGTGTATGATGCATCCGGATCCCTGTGAAACAGGCTGGCGGGGAACATGCACAACGGCGCCTTCTGCAAGCCTCTGCTGCTGCGGGCGCTCACGGAGGCGGTGCTGCTGGCAGCGGTGGAGGGCCCGCGCAAGGACGAGACCCACCGCGGAATGCGTAGATCGGTGCATGTGAAGCCATTTATGCATTTGTGTTTGTGTGTGTGTGTGTGTCCGTTTTTTGTTGCGGTCTTTTCGAGAAAACACCTTTTGTTTGGAGTGAAATTTTCCAGATTTCGAGATTTTTTGGACTTAGTGGGGCTATCCCCCAAACATGCTGTTTGTTTGCCCTTTAAACCAACCCGAGAGCGGGTGGGGGGTCTCACACAGCCAGCTTAAAAATCACCAGTTGGGCTAATTGTGGAGGAGTTTTTTCGTGGTGGGGTGGGTTTTGAGGGCCGTGATGCCGGGCAAACATACTGTGGATCTGTCTCGAAATGCTGTGGATGGAGTTTGTCCGGAGGTGGTTTATCCATGCCAACTAGTGCAAAGTGGATTTTCTCCATCTAGAATAGGTGTCCTGAGCATCGTTGTGAAAGACATGGTTTATAGGGCCAGCTTTTGTGATACCAAGAGAGCCCCTTTGAAGTGAAGATCGCCATGGGAATGACCCATGGTGTTCCTAGTTTGTTGTTCAAGCAACGGGGCGTGAACATCTAATGGAAGGGGGCGGGAAGTGCTGATTTAGAAACACCCCTGCCAGGCTTTTGCCACCCAATTGTTTCAAGTTGTTTAAGCCACGCTTGTTTCACCAAGCTCCTTTCGGTGTGACTTGAAAATCTTTCAAGGGGCCAGGCTCGTTTAACACATTCCTGCCTCCAGCAGCCAACAGGGCCACGCGCAGGCAATCCTTTTTGGGCCCATGAGCTCACCATGCATGCGGGTTCAAAGGGAAATAGGAAACTGGCCCAGTTTCGAGACACCGCAGTCTTGCAACCCGAATCGCCGAATTGGCAAAAATGAAGCCAGGTTGAACATCAGGGTCAAAGCCCAAAGTCGCAACCTTAAGGAAGCCAAAAGGAACCGAACCACCTGCCTACTGTTTGGCCTCGCAAGGGCTCAGACAAAACCTGTCCCGGCTTGCTTACAGGGAAGAGGATGGGAAACAACAGGAAATGGTGTAAGATGGTGGTGACAGTGAGTGGTTGGAAATGCCCAACATAGCATGTGCTAAAGTCAAAATGCTGTTGAGGTTGATGTACAGGGGACCAGGAGAACACATTTGCAAAAGCTGACCAATATGTGTTCAACTTGTCCACTATGTATCCTTCTAAACACCGTGATATACCTTTGCGGTGCTCCAAAACCATGTAAACCTCGAACCCTTTGACGACACGCCCAGATTGTGAAAGAGAGGGCAATGCACATTTTCCACGTGAGGAGGAGGCCATCCAAGCGATCATGAACTTGGATGAGCTGGGTGCCTCAGGTTTGCTTTTGGGTTACCCTTGGTGGTTGCGTTGGGGGAGTTGAATCCCGGGTCGCCTGAAAAAGGTGGTTTGGTTGACCCCATGATTCCGGGAACCAGAGAGGGCACCCAAGATGCCTTTAACATCAACCAAGGGCGTCCCTTCTTAGATTCTTGCCCATTGAAATCCACTGTGACATGTTGTTTCAGTTTGACGGAAGGAACCTAAGAAGGGGGTTGAACAGGGGGGCGATTCTTCAAAAACATTTTTTTGTGGGGGGGATCCGTGTTGGTTTGCAGAAGTGTAGGTGTCGAGTTGGTAAACATAGGTGAAGCACCCGGTCCGAGCTCTCGAACCCGGCATCCCCCCCGTGCCGTTTGCCTGGTTTCCCGGCAAATTGATCAGGGCTCCCAAAAAAAAGATACATGTTGCAACCATTTATAGACATTTATAAACATGTCGCTTTTTCCACCCAAAAGTTGGAAACCATTTACAAGTTGCAATGTTCGATCGGTGTATGCATCCGGATCCCTGACAACATCTGGAGGCCTGTGAAGGGAACCAGGGGCAGAGTTAGGGGCAGGGGGCGGATAGGCCAAAGCAGATGGCCCTGGGCAGCGCGCTGCAGCGGATCATGGCAGAGTCGGCCACAGGCGATCCAGGTGAGCGCCGTTTTCCCGTGTTGTTGTTTTTTTCTCCCTGACGAGTTCCCATTGTGTCTGGCGGAGAGGGGATGGGATGGGGGGGAGTTTGTTACCAGAATGGGGGGTGTAGCCCAAAGATCAGAAGAACTGGGCACCGTGCCGTTCTTTTGGGGTCCGAGACCAGTGAGTATGTGGAGGTATTCTAGAAACTACTTTTGCGCGACCCAGCGCATCCCCCATTGAAGCCAACCATGTGGGTGGCACTTTGTGTTTGAGTGGGTTCCCTCGAAACCAACCCATTTGGCGGTCAATTCACGTCAACGGACTCTGAAAATCCCCCGTTGGATTCAGGGGAGGCAGCTCTGCTCGTGCCACATGCCAGGCAGTTCGCAGCAGAATGCGGAGCACCCAGAGTCCGGCCCGCCCACACCACGTGCTGAGACGGAGCCGCGGTAGGGTCAAGTCCTGCAGGGTTTTCCATGGTTTTCCCCTAGAAGCGTAGACTTGGCTATTTCGTACCTGTAGGAATGGCCTTAGTTGCTCTGCGGGTTCCACCTTTTGATTGCTGGGTTCGGGACTGGCTTATACAAATGGAATTGATCCCAGCAAAAATGTTTCCGATTTGGGCGAATATTATGGCGACCTCACATAAGAGATTTGCGAGCTTGCCCCTCACTGCTGAAGCAAGCTCCCTTTTCCAGGCGAACCATAAATGTCCACGTGCTTAGGGTAGTTTGCATGCCTGCGTGTATGTGTTGCGGCTGTTCTGAAGCGGGGATGGTTGTGAGTATGGTAAATGAGTTTGTGTTTGATGCCTTTTTAAGCAGTTGAACCATGAATTATGCTCTGAGAACTGGGGCCTTGATCACTGCAATTTGATCGATCGGTTCAGCAAGCAAGCCCACAGCGAATCGACATGATTCGACCTTGTTTGTTCAATGGGTTACCCTGTCAATATCCAGGTCCGTGTGAACCTTGGGGCAAAGCATCAATACTTCCCCAGAATTAGTTCCCCTTTTTATTTTTTGGCTTTTTTGGGGTCCCTTTGTTTTCCACTAACCAGGCAAACACGATATATGTTTTTGCCGGGGTCCTAATTCCAGCCAAGAAAAAAAGGCAATCAAGAAAACAAAAACAACTTGGGGAAAAGCATCAACAAAGGCGACTGGTTGAATTTCCAGGCGCTTCAAGTAGCTTGGGCGACCGGCCGTTTTTTTTTGAGGAGTACAAGACGGAAGCGGACTTCCTGCACGACGAAATCCAGGAGACGGCTCTCAGAGAAGAGCTCCGGAAGTCAGTCATACGGAGCTCGTTTCAACCCGGAGGCTCAACGGGGCTCGTTGAATTTGGATGTTTGGTGGTTTTAAACAACTTTGTTAGCGCATTTAAAGGGATGATGTGTTAAGGAGTTGTTTGGCAAGCTTCGGCTCGAAGCAAAACTTGCGACAAAAGGTGCTTGCCAATTTCCCTTGGATTGAATCATGGTTTTGCGCGGTTGAAAAAGCAAAAACTTGCCCCCAGCAACCCCTCTGCTTGCCTTGCACAATTTTTGCCTTCCTCCAACCTGCGAGCTGTTGGAAATCAAAGGGCCTCTCAAGCCTTCCAGTTCTATTTGCCTTTGCGATAGCGCACAGTGTCTGTTCGACGCAGCGATTTATTGGGTGGAGGGGGAAAGAAGGAGAAGGCCCCAAAAACAAATAAGTCAGTGGGGTTCAGTGGGGTTCATCCGCTTCTCCCAGAATGGCTCCATTTTCTTTGTCTAGCTCACTGGGCAACTGAATGGACCCGCATTCTGTTCCCATGCAGGGAAAGCATGATACATGTTTCCCTCAGCAGCTTGTTTCACTGTTTGTGGGGGCGGGGGTTTTCAAATTGTGTCCCTCGCTTTTGCAATCAATCTTCGCACTGGCTAACTGTTCCTGCAAGGAAACACTGAGCGCTGCCGGGAGACGTGTCAAAATAGTATTCCGTTCAGAAGGCCGCTTTCACTACGTAGAATGTGTTGGTCGGATGTTGCGTGACAGAGGGCTTCTCGAAGAGGAAATCGATCTTCCAGGTTTCCTCCTACAGGTGCTGTCGACCACAAGTTCTGACTTTGATATTGGGGCACCAGGCTGCACCAGGGTCCAAAAAGCGGCCCTGCAGCACTGCATTTGTTGCAATCCAGAATGTGAGGTTTGGTCAACATGTCCAGCATTCTATGGCCAAGATGGGGAAGGCACGCACTCAATGTCCCCCTCAGCGAACTGAAACCCCAATGTTCAGTTAGGTTCCTTGCGTAGCCACTGATGGTGAGTGTCCCCTCAAAGGAAGCTCCAACATGGTGTGGAGAATGTTTCATCTTTTGCAGACCCCCTATGTCGAATCGTGAAAGTTTCTTTAGGGTGAAGGCTAGGGAACTGTGCCATCTCCCACTCAACTGTAGCACCCCTCGCTCCCTGAGTTCCAATTGGCTTTTACCTTCTGAGAAGACAATTTGAGTGGCAACAAGTTCCTGGACTTTTGTGGCCAATCCACTCAGGAAGTCAGCAGCGGATAGCTCAGTCGCCCAAAGCCGACCTTCGACCTTTTGGTTTTCCCTTTTTGTTGGCCCATGTTTAGTAAAGGTTCCAAAGGGTTAACCTTTACGTCTAGGTCCCTTGGGCCACAGAGATAGGGACGGGACAGCGCTCGAGGATTTGCAGGAGCGCTGCAACGCCGAGATGCGGGCCATCGACGGCCTCGAGAACAGCGAGCAGGCCGAGACACGGTTTGAACAGCCAGGTCCTGGCTCCCTTGAAAGGACAAAACTTCCCCAGAATGAGTTCCCCTTGTTACTCTTTGGTTATTTTTGCTTTTTTGGGGCCCCTTTTTTTTCCATCAACCAGGCAACATACAGGTTTTTAAGCTGGGGTCCTAGTTCCAGCCAAGAAAACAGCTCCAAATGCGTTCATTCTTATCAAGAAAGCACAAAAGCTCCAAACGCTTTCGTTCTTATTACAGCCTCACTTTATGGGAGACGTGGGCAGGATGGGTTGGGTTTGGATTCCACCATTTGGCTGGCAGGCATTGCAGGCTCAGCTGCGTGCCGTGATGGTGGACTTTATCGCCGAGGAGGACGCGGGAAGCTTCGGCAAGTTTCTAGGGGTTGATTCCTCTTCCATTCTTTTCAACCATCCTTTTCAAAAACCGGATCCCAGGTTAACCTGGGTTTTTGATGGTTTCCTGAAAAGATTCGGATCCCTGGAAAGAATGGAAATGGAAGGTACCCCTAATTCCATATTCAAGGGGGGTGGGGATTTCTAGCAGCACCACATGAGTAGAAACAAGACCAACACACAAACTCAAGAAAGAGCAAAGAACCGAGCACCACAACTTCCATTATGGAAGACAACAAGGCAACCAACAACGACAACGCTAGCTTGAGTCAAGGATCCCCACTTTCTAGGTTGACTAGCCAAATGGAGGTGGGGACCGCCCACCCCCTTCCCCCTCATAGGGGCGTATTTTGTTGACGGTGGTTGGGTTCCTTTTGTAGGCCCCTGAAGGTCCCTTGATCAAGGGGCCTTCTCAAAGAAGACAGGCGTCTTGTGTGGGCATTTGCACTTCCACGTTCGCTAGTCATACCCCTTCGATAAGTGGAGGGGGGGCCGAACAACAAGTGGGGGGGGGACTTGTTATTTCGAGGGGGGGGGGGGGGGTTGGACAAGTGGAGGGGGGGTTGTTGTGGGGGTGGGGGGGCCGAACAACATGGGGGAATTGTTGTTTCGAGGGGGGGGGGGGGTTCGAATAAGTGGGGGGGGGTGGTTGTGGGGGGGCCGAACAACAGTTGGGGGGGGGGGACTTGTTGGGGAGGGTCGAACAATTGGAGGGGGGTTGTTGTTGGGGGTGGGGGGCTGGTTGTTTCGAGGGGGGTCGAACAAGTGGAGGGAGGGGGGGAGGTTAGGGTGGGGGGGCCGAACGACAAGTGGGGGGGGAGACTTGTTGTTTCGAGGGGGGGTCGAACAAGTGGAGGGGGGGGCGGTTATTGTTTGGGGGGTGGAACAAGCTTTGGGGGGGGGGCAGTTGTTGTTTTACAGGGGAGCTGTCGAAGGGTTGAACAAATGGAGGGCGACTGCCTGCAGAGCTGAATCGCTGGCTGGCGGCCTTCGACATGCTGCTTGCGTCTGGCCGACGCCGCCGGGGCGAGTGGTTGGTCAGGGAGGCCTGGGCCCCGGGCAAAGAGGACGCGTGGAGCCGCAAGCGGACGCCCATTGCGGGCATCGACTTGCAGTTCCACGAGAGGGACATCCCCGACCCCACGCCTGTGGCTGGGCTCACCGAGGTGGAGCAGGAGCAAGGGCGCCTTGTTCGCGTCTCGTTGGGTTTGACTTTTCTTTTGCGGCTTTGGCTTGAGTCAAGCATCTGGCTCCCGTGGACGCTCTCCCATGAAAGCTGGCAGGCCTTCCTCGAGGAGCCGGAGCTCCCGCTGGAGGGAGACACCTTTTCCGGCCTCGCGGTGGGCGACAAGTCGGGGGAGCTGGAGTCGGGCAGTGCTACATCTCCAAGGGCTGCTAAGAAGACTCGCAACAAGATAGCTTGGAAATAGAAGATAGTAAGTGAGACAAAGGTCTGCTTATCAGGGGCTTATCCTATGTTTATCTCAGACAGGTTTGGCTATTCCGCCGGACATATAGTAGACTTACGAGTAGCTAGCTAGGAAACTAGAAGATAGTGTGTTTTTCTATCTTTCACACATCTTGTGCGAAAAGATAAGAGAGAAGACAAAAGATAGTATATGTTTTTCTTTGTGATTATCTTTTTTAATTTTTCTGTATTTTGTATCTTTTGTTATCTTTCTTTATCTTGTTTTTGTGTTATTTCGTTCTTTCTTTTTCTTGTTTATCCTTTTCCCTTGTATTTTTTATAGTTTAGCTAACTTCCACTTCACGAAAAAGCAGCAGGCCGGCCAAGCAGGCGAGTGACAGAAAAAGCCAACTCAGAAAATGCAAGGCAGCCACACACAACGAGCAAAATAGAAGCCCGATGGAAAAATCCACTGGCTTGCTTGGCCTGCTTTTCCCGAAGCGATAGTTCTTTCGAAGAGTGTCTGGCTTAATTCGTCATTGTGGTGCTGCCGTTTTTTGGGCGCAGTTGTCTTTTTTCAGGGCCTGTCACTGGCCTGCCTGGTCGGCTTGCTGCTTTTCGTGAAGTAGGATTCTTCCATCGGGCTTCTGGTTTGCTTGTTGTGTGCAGTTGCCACGTTTTTGTGGGCCTGTCACTGGCCTGCTGGGCTGCTGGTTTTTGTTTTTGTGCACTTGTGTTTGTTCGGGGCCTGTCACCGGCCTGCTTGGTCGGCCCGCTGCTTTTCGTGAAACTGTGCAACAAAAACAAGCATGGCAGCCACGCACAACAAGCAAACTAGAAGATGTATCTGAACAAATCAATTTTCACGAAAAGCAGCAGCCCGACCACGCAGAAAGCAACTGCAAACAACGTCATTAGCAAAATAAAAGCCCTACCGCAAAATTCCCACTTCACGGACCAAGCAGGCCAGTGACAGGCCCTGAACAGATCCAACTGCGAAAAAAGAGGTTGTTGAACTTTCTGAACTCGCCAAGTAACGAAATATCACTCTGGGGGCCCGAGACTTTAAACTTATTGAACTTTTTTGAACTTCTCAAGTAAAGAAACATCAGTTTGGGGACCCGGAATTTTGAATTTGTTGAACTCCCCAAGTAAAGAAACATCATTTTGGGGGCCTGGCATTTTCAACTTTTTGAATTTTTGGGCCCCAAGTAAAGAAACATCACTTTGGGGACCCGGGATTTTGAGAACTTTTTGGGCTCCCCAAGTAAAGAAACATCACTTTGGGGACCTGGGGTTTTGAACTTCTTTTTTTTCTCAACCCCCAAGTAAAGAAACATCACTTTGGAGACCCGAAATTTTGCTCGTCTGATTGAATTAGGGTTTGGGGGACCCTGGTTTTGGACCTTTTGTTTGTCTTTCAAAGTCCCGAAGCCCAAGGTCGCCTGAATGTTGACCTAGTCAGTTTTTCAACATGTCCAAGTAAAGAAGCATGACTTGAGCGACCCAATTTCCGTAACTACCAACCCAGCTCCAAACCATCAACCCGAACGAAATGAAACAACCCTCCAAACCAGCAATCCCTGCAAACTACCAACCCCAACTAAATGGCAAAAGCGGTCCCTCCACGCAACCAACCCAAACAAAATCAAACAAGCGGCCCCAACCCAAACCTCCAAACCATGAACCCAAACTAAATCCGAAGTAAATGAAACAACCGGCCCCTCCAAAATAAATCCGAAGTAAATGAAACAACCGGCCCCTCCAAACCAGCAACCCAAACTAAATGAAGAAAGCGGTCCCCTCCAAACTACCAACTCAAACATCGTGCATTTCTCTTTTTCGGACATGGCTGAATTACGTTGCATCATGTAGTTTGATTTTGTTTGATCTTGTTTTATTTTTCATCTTTTGTTTTATCTCCTTGTTTTGTTTTATCGTTTTTTTAAAAACTAATATATTTTTGGACCTTCCGGTATCTTGATTATCTCCCTAGTTTCTCCTATATCTGCACTATCTTGCTACGAGGCTTCTTAGTAGGGCCGGGCTTGGTGGTGAAAGTCGGCCTCTGACGCAGGACTTCCTGACACGAACCTTCGTCGTCTGGCGATTCCCCGTCCTCTTGCCACGGCGGCGCCCGAACACGATGGTCGTGAACAAGGAGGAGGACCCCGTCTTGTTTTGTAGGTTGCCCCGCGTGCTGCGCTGTCCGTGGGCGAGCCCGACACGACACGATCGTCGAGCAGTCTGGCGGCGACCTCGACGGCGACGGGCTCCTGGGCTTGGTCGCCTTCGTGCGGAACATGCTTGGCGGCGAGTTCAAAGCCCCCCGCCTGTCCTTGCCCCAGGAGCGTGTCGGCCCGTCGCTGGCGAGGGCGGAGGCTGGCTTGGAGAAGAGACCCTCGTCCTTCGAAGGCGCGCGCCGTGCCTGGCGATTGAGCGCCCCGCTTAGCCGGGGACGGGAGGCGTACCGCAAGTACCTCGGCGACGTGCCAAGCTTCAGCGTGAAGGCTATGGTCACGGTCATGACCTAGCGGGCCTTGGGCGCAGCTTGCTCGCGCGACGTGGCGGCAAAGAGCAAAGCGCTTCTCTGAGCAATGACTTTGTTGAACTTCGTTGTCTTGCGGCCAGGCGAGTTCGACGGTCTACCTGGGCCTCATGGACCTTGCCTTCGACACGGGGCACTTTGCCCACGCTGTCGGAGGGGTTGTTGTTGGGTCAGTCAAGCAACAAGTGGAACACCGGGGGGGGGGGGATTGTTGTTCAGGGGATTGTTCGGGGGAGGGGGGCGCCGAAGCCGAACAACAAGTGAGGGGGGGGGGGGGGCGGCTTGTTGTTCGGGGGGTAGGGGCGGGGGGTTGTTGTTTGCCGGGGAGTGGGGAGGGGGGGGGTGGGGTGGGGGGGGCACCCCTGCTCATCGAAGCGGTCTCTCGCTGGTGGTTTGTTGAGAGAGGGCTTTTCTTCACCTATATGACTGTTGCAACCCGCAACCTGTGATCCAGGCTTCGTTGGTCCAAAAGATTGGATTGGGTGCATGTTGGTTACTTTTGCGAGACGCAGGCAGGAGCAACATAGATACTGACTACTTCACTTTTTGGGACAGGTCTAGTTGTTTTCAGACATGTGCCATTAAAAAAGCAGGTTCACGGCTCCTTTAAGAGGCTCCGTGCAGCAGCTCATGCTTGACTGCCCACGTTTGGGGCCCCAGGCAGCCAGCAAGGCGATGGCCTGGAACAGGCAGTGCGGGCGATCGAGTCCATAAACGAGCTGGCGGCGGGTCATCTCAGGTCGATCCAGAATGATTGGCTTCCAACAATCTTCTTTTCGGGAAACAGCCGTTCTTTTTTGAAAAGAACGATGGTTGAACAAAATCGGGAATCAAACCCTAGCTTGGGGAACCCCCAGAAACCCGAAGCCCTCTTACTCCAAGCCCTTTATGTTCCCACCCCTCCCGACTCAGCCACCCCGCCTTTGGGCCAGGAGCAAGCGGCCGAAGCTGACGCCATGCTGCAGAAATGGCAGCGCGCGTATGGGGACGACCTGAGGCACTTCAAGGCTGGGAGCGGGAAATCCCGTTTCACTTTTCCCCACCTCCGGTGACCCCTAAAAATCAGTAGCGCATTTTGTTTTGGTTTTTTTTGGTGGCTGCCCTACTAAACATGGTCTTCCCCAAAAAGGGTTCTCAGGGTCACTGAACAACTGAGGCCAGGTTTCAGTATGCCCCCAAGGTAGCCGCTCAGGTGGCCCATTTTTGGACACTCAAGATACCTGAGCCATTCCAAAGACAGGAATAGCGCTGGTAGCTCACTTGCCCAAGGCGAATCAACCGGATCTGACCTTTTGGCATCCTAGGCTACCCTCCCTTCCACTAACATAGAACCTGTGGGAGGTTGCCTGGAAGATCATTTTCCTCTTGTAGGGACCCCGTGTCAGGTGCCATGTTGGTGGGAGTGAGGGTAAGTGTACCGGTTTTTCTGGGTCCTTTGTGCAACTGAGTGCCATATTTTTGGCCAAACCCAGCCCCCCTTTTTGAAGTGAACCACCTCCGGGTAACGGTCTACCTTGGGTAGTCCAAAAAATGGACGCTCAAATGTTTTTGCAAACTTTTGCCAGGGAGCTTGCCGATTTGAAGGTTACACGAGCTTCCCACTACTAACATTAAGTACTTCCTCCCCATAATAAATAGTCCCTGCGGTCGGAAGGATATTTGTCAATCGGGTAATCCGGGGTCGATTTGTTTCCGCCACAATCTCCTCATCCAAAACGGGATCCTCTCTTTCCGGGCCATTCAGAATTGCAATTTCCGAGTAAGGAATTTGAATCAAGGAATTTCCGGACCTGTGCTGGTGTTGAAATGCTTGAAACATTAGTTCAGTATTGGTGCCGTATTGTTTTCGTACCCTTTTGTAAAAGTAGTATTTAGGACCCGGGGTTTGTCGACGGGGTGCGTTCATTAATCGGGGGAAGGGATTATCCTGCTTCTTGTTTTGGGATTACAGTAGAACTTGCAGCAGGAAGAAGGCTTTCCCTTTTTTGGTGGTTGGCCGGTTGCCCGTTTTTGTTTCGGGAGAGGTTCTTGTTTTGGTTTAATTGGATTCCCTTGTTCGATTTGGGCTTGCCCTTCATTGAATATCGGCCCTTGTCAACGAGCAATGGGTGTGTTGGCTGGACTATCTCCTGTATTCCTATTGTATTAACTTATTGTGTTTAGCATTATTTTATTAATATTATCCAAATGTTTCTCAACATAGGCAGGCCCTAAAAGCAAGGTGGTTTACTCTGGGATTCCCTTCAATTGGTTGCTTCTTCACTTCCGTTCATTGCCAGGCTTCCGCACATCTTAGGTTCGGGCCTTTTGGGCCTAAGGTGGCCATCAATCACTGAATTTCCAATGCATTTTGCTTTCTGGGGACCAAGGTTTCATAAATTCAAGGGTCAAGACGCCGCAGTTTTGGGGTCCAAAGCATTGCAGGAACACGGGGGAACTTACTATCCTTTCTCTCCTCACAACCAGCGGATTCACACTCATTGTCCTCTCCTCGCGTGGCTCCTATTGAAGGCCATTTCAATGAAAAACACACGGTGTCAGCTTAGACCTGTTCCGTTTTCCTCCTTCCAGCCAAGAATTCAGTCGTCCTTTGTCCGTGGAGGAAATCAAAAAAGATGCGTGTTCAGCCCTGCAGGTGATTTCCAATTTGACTTTAATTTCCGAGTCTTTTCGACGCATGATTGGCTGTGTTTGGATTCGGTCGAACTCTGCGAAATGACCAAAGGCTGCACCAAACCACAGTCGCGCAACATTCGAGCAATTGGTGTCGGCATCCAAGATCTTAAAAAATAGAACCATCTGGGGGTCCAGGAGCGACCCCTAGAGATCTAGGACATGCTTGTGACGAAATCGGTCGCTCATTGCGGGAATGGCCAGGTAACACACACACACACACACTGAGAGATCTTCGAGTCACCAACCGCCTCGCGAGGACCCCACCAGTGCCTTTCCGGGCCGTTTGCACTTCAGGGACACCGGAAAAAAGCGTTCCCCCCCCTTGAAAGTGCGAATTTGTCATGTGTCAGGGCCTAACAAAATAGCGTTTCAACTTTGGGGGTGCTGGAGTAAAGCAAGGAACATACGAAGTTCAATCTTCAGGGTGTTGGTTCAGTCAGTCTTTGATAGGCCCGATTTTCTCAGTCATGCACTGGCATTTTAAACAAGAAACACAGCTCAAGTGGCACCCTTGAAATACCTTCCTGTGGCTTGATTGGCCACAGAAAATTGGCAACGCCCCAAAAGCAATGGTTCCACATATTTCTTGCTGTCAGTAGGGGATGACAAATGGAATGACCCAAAAACAACATCCCTTGTTGTTTCCTTTGCTGGGATCCATTTCCAGTCAACCCCCTGTTGATTCCCTACTGAGAACCAGCATCTTGTTTTCCTTTGAAGGGGTTGCCTAAAGGGACAGAGTTATAACCTACACAGACTATAACAATGGCCTAAGTGGGTTGTTTCACCAGGCTTACTCACTACTTACCTTCCATACCGAATCGATCGCCCCTTTATACTTGGGGCACCCAGATTTTTTGTGCTTCGCCTAAGCCACAGGCTGAGTGCAATGCCTTGCGGCAAGATTTGCACAAGGAGACGGAGAACGCCAAGGATCGGGGGGTAAATTGCGAGATGTTCCACCACGAGGGGTAAAGAGGAACGAGCTTATCCATGAGATTGTTCAATGTTTTTTCTGCATATGTCCACTTTGCGAATTCGCCAGGTCCTTGGTGGATTCGAGGATTGATCCTTGTGCATCCCTTGTGCACCATGTATGCCTTCTTGGGCATATGGATGTATCCAGTCGTTCGGAACTGAGACGAATAGCAAATCGCAGTGCAGCTGAAAGGGGTCGGTTTCTTGGGCATGTGAACAAAACGCGGAGCCTGAAAGGGCACTTTTTTGGCATGGAACTTTGGGGATCGGAACTTTTGCTTAAGCCAAGTAGCAGAGAAGTCACTTTTTTTCCGGAGGAACTAAAGACACCCCCTAGCCTCAGGCCTGAAGTGGTCATTGAATGGTCATGAAATATTCGGGTTTCCATCATCCTGCTTTCAGAGAATTGCAAACCACGTTAAGGTGTTGTTCATGTTCGCCAAGAGCTTGAGGGGTTGGAGAGGCTCCAGACTTTCTGGAGGTTCGGCCTGGTCAGCTTCACAGTTCTTGGTATGTTGGGTTTTGGTTCTTTGCTTCCCCCCTCTGTTTATTTATTGTTGGCGGCTGCAAAGGGCGAGCGATACCCTGACATACCAGCGATTCAGGAGCAAAGAGTGTATCCCATACTGGTAGCCGGAGATTTATGGGAGTTTCTTGGGCCACTTTCTTAATTCAATACAGGAAGCCAGCTCGTGATGGAGACGTGGTGCATTTTGCCAGATGCCCTATTTTGAGGAGAACAAAAACTAGGTGCCCCATTCTGCCTTTGTTTTTGGGGTACGTGCCCGTGCCCCTGAAATACGACTTGCCCCACAAGGGGATACTCTAGGTGCCCCCTTTGTTCACAATCGTGTCTGCGATGTCTGTGCCGCGTGCCAGAGAAAATCATTCCTATCACCATGGTTGTTGTTGGGAAACATTTTACATGTTTGCTTATTGTGGTTTAGTGGGAAATCCCAACTTAACTGCTAAAATTTAAGATTTTGCTCCCCTTCCAACGTCAACCAAGTCACAGCCGCCAACTCACGGCCAGACTTAGCTTGATGTTTTTGTCCTTTGCAACCTTCAGAATGTTTACGGGGTCATTGTTCGACCTCCAGGGTGTGATTGCAGCTTGCTTTGTTGCGAACACGGTTCTCCATGTTTGTCACCATGAAAAAAGGTGAGTCTGCCCCGAAAACGGGGGCCACTGGATCTAAGGTCCAATTACTTGGAGGCGTTGCCTCTGTTGCTTTGCAAGAGGTCTCTCTGGGCGACTTTGCGTGAAAATTGCTCCAAGATTTCAAGAAGGTCATGTACATTGTCACAGCTACCGGGAATTGTGCTTGGTGTAGCTGGTCAGCCAGGATTTGGCCAAATGAGCAAAGGGAATCCACCCACCAGTCTTCTCATCATGTGTTCATTTGCTCAGAACAGTCCGCTTGACTGCTATTGGGTTGGATGGACTTTAACTTGTTGGTTGAAATCAAGTTGGGTTTTCCGTACTAAATCCCCAAAAAGTGAAACACTTTTTGCAGGGGGGTCGTTGCAGCAACCAAGATTTGACCATATGGACAAAGGGAATCCACTCACAAGTCTTCTCATTTGCTCAGACAACTCCAGGGAAAGTTGGGGCACTGTTGCAGGACGCGCCGCAGCGCGACAAGAAGCTCCGGTCGCAGCTGGACCACGAGCTCCACGCCTGCAGGGAGCTTCAGGTGCGCCGGCGGGGGCGGGGTGGGGGTGGCCCAGGAGTGGTGTGGGGCTTGGTGCAGGGTGGGGCAAACTATGGTTTAAACACCAGCTTCACAAGAAATAATCATCAGAACCAATGGTTTAAACATGTTTAAAAAAATGGGGGGATTTGTGGTTGGCCGAAGCAGGAGCCAAAGTAGCCTCGGAAAATGGATGGGGGTGATGGAATGTGGTGGTTTCAACGATTGTAACCAGCAAACTGTTTGTAGAGTTTCGTGTTGGTTTGCCGTGGAAGGGGAAGAAAGGTCCTGGCTGGGTCAATTTCAACAAACTTGGCCCGAGCTTTTGTTCACGGAAACGACCATTGACAGTGAGGCCCGAAGGGCAAACGAAAGGAAACGAGGACTTTCGCGGGTTCAAACCAACCAGCTGCAAGGGAACAATGCTTGAAAAGGACGGGGAATCTGATGCTCAACCCGTAGAGATACACGATCACCTTTGAATCGACGGTTGATCGAGGAAGTTCCGCTTGTGGCATGGGCCCGTGTTGGGGAGGCTAGACAGAAACATTGGACGGGGCGGTCTTGACGGCCGGTGGGAAGTGCCATAGAATCTTAGTTTGGAGGTCCCTCCGTACTGGATGTTCCTTTTTGCGGCTTGAAACTCTGCCTTTTGGGGAAAGTTGAGGCTGCTTTTTGGGCTTGTTGCTTCATTGCAAGAAACAAATCCAAGCTTGGTGAGGCAGGAAACAAGGAGGAGACATATGGAATGTTTAGAGGGGAAGCGTGGAGAAGTTTAGTTTTCTCATGGGGCCGAGGGGGGCGAGGGGAGGAAGCCAAAATAAGTCCTTAATAGTGTGGAGGGAGGAAATCCTTCAAGACCTAAGAAATGCTGGAATGATGATTCCCTGTAAATACCAACGAACAATGCTTTCCCATGCAAAATTTCGTCCATCCACAGCAAGACTTCCCTTCCCCCCAAAGCCCCCACAACCTTCGCTGGTTCTGGTTTGCTCGAGGACAATACCGACAAGCTGGAGGTGGAGCTGAGACAGGCGGGGACGAGATCAAAATGGTGGGGGTGTTGCTCGTCCCGGGTCGTGCAGCCACAAACTGCACTGTTCAAAGCCGTACGCAAGAGGTCCCCTTTGTAGTGGCTGCCCTACAGGGATTATAGATTAGGATCCTCCATTTTGAACAGCCCAGTGACAAAGGTGCAGAAATCATGCGTTTCGTTCGTTGCGGCTCGGGCATGTCTCTGAAGCGCCGAGGGACCAGTCGAGTCTCGGCGTGGGAAGGCCTCACCCATTGGGCAGCCAATGCCGAGTCCGATCTGACCATGTGAACCACCCTTCCCAAGCCGTTTCTCGCGCAAGACGCGCTGAGGCTCGGGCACCTTCCCAATACACGGCGATTGGGAATGTGACCAGAGACCTTTGGGGAAACCCGTTTGGTTTCCACTGAACCTCAGATTCGCTTCACCTACGCGCGAAGTCCCGCTCAGATACATGTTTATTCATGTTTGTCGCTTGGATCGGCATGATCCAAAAGAGGTGTCCTGAGCTGCATCCAAAGCCTGGTGGCCTGTGGTGGCTTTTCAGCCCGCACAGGCGGCACAAGCCAACGAGAATGACGACCTGTCTACCGCCCGAGCCTCAACTGGCGCGGAGGTTGCGTTGCCATCACCCCCCTCGTTTGGGTGCGCAGATGCAAGGCCCCTTCTGTCGTTTTCAAATGGTTGTTCGACTTCTCCCGGACGTTGAAATCCGAAAGAGTGAAACAGGGTGTCAAGAAGAAGATCAAATCTCTCGTGAGGTCAAAGCAGAGATGATGACTTCCCAAATGCAGCAGGCAGGACGCTGAGAGACGTGTTCCTTGCAGAGGCCCAAGCCTTTCAGGGGATTGCGCTGTTTGTTTCTTTTGTTTGAGGGAGGGCCTTCCCATCAAAGCTTCCCCAACAAGCTGCGGCTTTTCATTCGTTTTCCATGGATCTTTGAGATGCGAAAAGACGTCCACATCGGGGCAAACTCATTGGACCCCGGGGACGCGAGGCGCCGGTCCGAGCCCGTTTTTGGAAGGCAGCCCCTTCCGAAGCTCACCGCCGATGGACGGCCCAGCTGGAAAGGTGGTTTCGAACATTGGTGGTTGGAGCCAAATGCCCAAAGGACCCAGAACTCAAAGGTGATCCTTTTGGGCCAAGAAAATCGTTGCCAAACATGGGAAAACCGAAAGGTCAGATCCGGTCTTGCTCAGTTGAAAGCGAATTGACCGGATCTGACCTTTTGGTTTTCCATGTTGAGTTCCCATGTTCAGTCATGGGCCCAAAAGGTGATCACCTTTTAGTTCTGGGTCCTTTGGGCAAGTGAGATGAATACAGCTGGCTTCCTGCAAGCGTGATGTAAGGGAAAACGAGGGAGCCTTCTACCAGTCTAAACCCTACCCCAAACGGACACACCCTACAAGCCACACATCAGCATATTTATTGGAGTATGCGCTATACCGTTTTTCCCTGCAGGAAGGGGTTTGGCTGTTTTCCTTGTCAGCCTTGTGGCTCCCTGAAAATTTAGAGAATAACACCTCAAGAAGGGGCATCCTCCAAAAAGTACACCTTTTTGGAGGCTATGCGGCCACGGGTCAAAATCCCGTACCCCCAGTGAACATCCCAATCCCCACCAAAATAGACTAAAACGGGTGGTGCACCTGCTTTACAATGGTAGCATTGGTTTTGACCCACACCCATGTGTAGTGGTATCTACTCTTTTATTCTGGACATTTGGTGGCTATGCGTGCATCCCATCCACTGACATGGTACATGTGGGTGAAACCTGGAAGATGTGTTTCCTCTTGTCAGGTGCCATGGCAACGTGGGAGAGAGAGGGTGCAGTAGCGGTTTGGGGGGTAGTGCACTACATGTTAGAACTTGGTGTTTCGCAAGCATCCCCGATGTTTTTTTGAGCTTCTTAGGGTTTAGTGGGGGGTTTCCACTAAACTCCTTAAAAGTTGTTTTCTTGTTTTGTTTTCCGCTTTTCTTTTCTTTTTTACAACAAACAACAACTTTAGCAGGAGATCCGAAAATCGGGGCACCGATTTCGTCGCCGTGTCGCCAGAACGTGGTGGACCGCCTCCTGCGACGCGCCGAAGGCGAGGAGAAGGAGCAGATGCGCATCGCCCGGGCGCCTGATTTTTGTTTTTTCCGAGTCCCAGGAGCCGTTGGGGAGTTTCGGACCGCCCAAAGGTCCCATTGAAAATGAGGACCATTTGTGTGCCTCATTTGTTTTAATTTGTTTTTTTTAAACAAAAATGAATGAAAGCCTAATTTTAAAATTAACTCCTAATCCCTCCTTCCTAATGCCAAAACCGGTTTTTCCCGGGGGACCACTTAGTATTTGGGAGGGGGGGCCGTTTAGTATTAGTGGGAAGGGAGTACCATTTGTGTGCCTCAAGATAGGAACCAACATGAAAGCCTCGTAAAAGGAGGAGTAGACATGAAACCATTTGGGTGTGCCGGAAAAAGCACTAAACCCTCAAAGCTGCAAAGACCTAAGGCATGGGCTGGGGACCACCAAGTTCCACACCCTACGCCATGGCCCAGAAACTTATCTTCCAGGCTCCCTCCCACATGTGCCATGTTAGTGAGAGGAAGGGTACCATAGACCAACATGGAACCCTGGCAAAAGGAGGAGTAGACTGAAACCTGCGGTCCCTGGCTCTTAAGTTTTGAGCCACCCATTTGCTTTTTTGACCGGCAAGGGTAATCATGACTCAAATTGGTTTTGCAGTGCACATCCCCCATTCTAACGATTTAGGCCCTTGTAGTACCTCCCCCCCAATCAGCATGGAACATCCATGGAACCTCTCTTTTGGTTGGGGGAAAAGGCGCAATCATGTTAGGGGTCCTCAATTGTAAGACAAACCCTGATGTTTGCAGCCTCCTCCAAAATCTTGGAGAGGGTAGACCCAATATGTATTTTTTGGTAAACCAGAAGGGGGAAGGGGGGGCGGTTCTCTCAAACAATATCCCAAACAATGAGGGGTTTGTGAGGTCCATGCTTTTTGGAGTGTACGCGGCAAAATGTTGAAGGGCACCAGGGAATCCACCAATGGGTCCATATCGCTAGTCCATTTGTTCAGTGGAGGTATCGTTTTGCGCACCTTCCCCAAACAGCTTGAAATGCCGCAGCACAAGTTGCAAGTGCTTGGCCTGCCTCAAACTATGTTTGTTGCGCCTGGGGGAGCCCATTTGACCCCTAATTGCCATATGTGTAAATGTTGTTTGTTCATGTTCCCAAGAAATATAATATATGTATATCATGTTAATAGGGGGTCCCTGTATATTATTAGGAGGAAGGGATAAAGCTCACCTTGGTGAAACAAGCTCACCAGTGATGAAGGCCCCTTGGATTCCTTACTTCCAGTTTGCCCAGTTGGACTCACAGAGGACGAGCTTGCGCTGGCCACAGTCTCCCTGGCAAAGCATATCCCAGGAAAGCAAGCGCCCAACAGATTGGGGTGGCCAATATTTCGTGGATCCCGTTTTGGAAAGACCCCTCTCGAAGGGCATAAGGATACCGGAGACCCCCGATTTTTGTTAACACACCCATGTGCGTCAGTGGCAGACTCTGGCGCGGACACTGACAGGCCAAGAACTTGTGGGAGACCCTGCACGCAACAGAGGCCCAGAGTGAAACCCGCGGCGGTGGCGGGGCGAGAGGGAGAGGCTGCAAACAGGCCATATTGATGACTAGAAGCATTGCATTTGCTTTTGCTTGATTGGGAAATTTGGCTTGCCCCTAGTGAGCATCCACTCAATAGATTGTGAGAGATGCACAAAGCAAAATACAACTGAAATAAAGTCAAGATACAATGATCCAGCATGGCAGTTTTATAGAATTTAAAAGAGGGGGGGATACCCGCAAAAGGCGTCCCATGTGGCTAGGAAATATAACCACCCCTTGTTGGCTACTGGATTGCTCATTTTGAGGACCCAACCTCAAACCGCATGCTTTACGCCTGGGGACCCCTGGCATGCCCCTAGACAATATGGTTGTAAAGTTGTATGCTCCCAAAGGGCCTTTGGTCCCTGCTGCGTTCTCATTGTTGGTTTCTGTTCTTTGGGTTCTTCTCGATCGTTGGGGCTTGCCCAAAAAGCATTTCGTTTTGCCCGCAATTTGAAGCGACTTTCAGTCGCGACAGGTTACAGCGCAGTCCAGAGAGGATACTCACCGACACTTGCGGCGGGTCGCGGAGAAGGCGTGGTGAGGGTTCCGGGGATGGTTTGGGACGGGCTGGGGGGTGTACGAAGATTGCTCACCTCGACTTGGGCATGAATGCTTTTGAGGGCGAACGGTTGACTTCGTTCGAAGCTTAGCTTGTGCGCTTTGCAAAGATCAAGCGAATCACGACCTCTCCGGTGAGAAGAAGTTTCAGACGCGGAGGTTTTGCAGTTCCCGCAGCTGGATAGGCGCTCGCGGTGCATTCAAGTCAGATGAGCGATCTTGCAGTCCGCCAATTGAGCGGGCCACTCCTCATTCAATGGAGGCGGCTTCTCACCTGGGTTCTTGTCATATTCTGATCTGGCAGCTTGTCCTTTTGACTTGTCCAATTCCAACACTCGTGCTGCGGTCTGCTCTACCGATTCTAGGCGAGGCTTGCTTTGCGAGAATGTCCTGACATGATCACTGTACAGCTTTCTATTTCCGGCTTGGGAGCTTCACTTTCAAGCCTTTGCTCCGGCTGTGGGTGGGGAGTTGTTCCTTTTGAATGTCCTTCGAACACCAGCTTTAAAGGTTCTGCGAAGTTCTAGGTGGGGGGTTTTCCTCAATTAATTACTACATGGGAAGCGGGCTGTGTGCCTTGAAAGTCCCTGCGCACAGTTACTGGGTGGGCAAACCCTCAATCGTTCAACTGTTCAACCCTTCATTACCACAAGGGCCACACATTTTCTCATCCATCATTCTTCAACAACTTTCTGGAACCCAGTCTTGGCTGGGCCCAGACGGGGCGACTTGAGTTTACTTCACCTCGAAGCTGGATGTTCCCTCCTAGTGGCTGTGGACAGCAGGCCTTCCAAATTCCAAATGCCCATGATTGTCGGAGGGGTATTCCTTTGTGGCAGAAGTGGGTCCTCGCCCCGTGTCGATTTTCTTCACTGGTTCGGAGGCAGGTGTGTTGCATTTGTTTCCTGCCAGAGGGACGCTTCGGGTCTGTGGTGCTACCCTTGCCTTTAAGCTACCCACGTTTGGAAGCAGCTGGAAACTGGCTGCGACCCGCTTAGGGTACCTTTTCCAAATAGATGGCTCTTGCACCCATGTTTTTTTTGGCCCTGACTTGTCCAAAGCCCAACTTTCAAACTTTTAAGCTGTTACTTGTTGTCTTTGTTGACTCGTGGCTAGGACCAACATACAAGTTTGTTTAAGCCGTTCCCTAACATTTGAACCAGCAGGGCCAGTACAGTAGGGCATGTAACTTGTTTGAAAGCGGTTTGATCTTCCACTTGGCTGGTTTGAAACCACAGCATCCTCCAGTGCCCTTAGTTCAACTTGATTGGATGGAGTTCCGCGCTCAAAGAAACTACCAAAACCCTTCCCCAGAATTAGCTCCCCTTTTTTGTTGTTTTTTGCTTTTTCGGGGTCCCTTTGTGTTCCACTAACCGTTAGTCACTAACCAGGCAAAACATATAGTTTTGTTTTGCTGAGGTCTTAATTCCAGCCTAGAAACAAGGTGGCATTTTCCCAATGGCCACTTGAGGCTTGGGAAGGGCTCGAATCAAGAAGGGCCTTGTTTTCCATGAAGGAAGCACCAAGGCAAGTGAAGCCTGTGAAGTGGTGCCTGACCCTCTTGGTTCCCACACTCCTCTGGATTCTCTGGATCTTATGCAAATTGCTGAGCAAAGCAGCAAGGAACAATGGGCCGACTTTGCTTGCCTCTCGCAACTGTTTGCCTTTGCTTTCCTCCTTTTTGATTTCAACCAGCAACACCTTCACTTCTTGCACTCGCACTCGCCAGAGGATCCAAATCTGCAAAAAAAAACATATTGACATTTGTGGGGTGTTCGATGGTACGTAATTTATTTGGGTTAAATGGGGAAGAAGGTTTTTAGCCAATCCAACTAATCCTTTCAGAACTGTGTGTCTGTGTGTGTGTTTGTGATTCTTCCGATGGTGCCCTATCTGGGCTGAAGGGGAAAGATTTCGCCAACCCTCCGGGAGTTTCGGTTCCCCAAATGCTGCAGGAGGAGGAGAGCGAGGCGGATGTGGTTGGCCTGCTCGAGTTCCGGGAGACTCGGAAGTCGGAAGCGGGATGAACTCAGCAAGCAACACATCGAAACAACTTGTCTAGGTCCCCCAGTAGTGCCCGTTTACCCCTTTTTTTGGGGGGAGGGTTCCCATACTAAACAAAAACTACAGAAAAAATAGGGTACCCTTATTCCAACCTCTCTACTGGAGGACCTAGTTGTTTCTGACTCCACTCAAGCGAGAAATCGAGTTGGGGGCTGGAGACCTCGAACGCATAAGGTGTAACCGCTACATTAGAAGATCTCTGGCCGCGAATGTCCAGAGGGTCCCGTTGAATTTTCCACCGTTCGGAGGGAGAGACCTTCCAGATTGGACGTCTCAACGCCGCGAAGCTTACCCTTCCGACTTCGCCATGGGAGAATCAGAGGGCCCCGTTGACGGGAGAATGATCCAAACGAGGATTCTGTTGGCAAGGAGTTTGGTGGATTGGCCTTGACACCCTGAGCTTCCCGTAGAATGTCCTGGCTTTGAGATTCAATCCATTGGCACCATTCTGCCATGGGTCAAAAATGGGTACCCAAAATGGAACCCTGGTAAGTGGAACCCATGACTAAAACAGGCGATCCCCTGGTCGTTTAATTTTGACCCACACCCATTCTACTTGTGCAATGGTGAGCAAGTTGAGACAGGTAAATTAGAAAAAAGTCAAAGCATCGGGCGTTGACGCCCTATCTTATGGCGACCTCACCGGTTCAGATGTAAAAGGACCAACTCAAAAACGGCAGAGCCACGGGGCGAAAGCCAAGGAGAGCGAGATGCGGCAGCTACATGGAGCCATGGAGGAGGCAGATGTTCGTTGCGACAAGCTGATTCGCCGTTTTGGTCAAGGATTGTGTATTTGGTTATGGGTCAAAATTAAATCTCCAGGGGACCCCAGGTTTTAGTCCATGTGTCCATTGCCAGGGTTCCATTTGAGCGGCGGTTTTTGTTGGCCGCAAGCTAATTAGGGACATTATTATTGAAAATATGCACTGCGCCATACGCACGGAAGCATGCGGAAGGCTTCGCGGAAGGGATTTGTTCGCGGAAGGTTTGCGGAAGCTTAGTAGCTGAGATGAAATTAAATGTTTCAGTGCGTGCCTGGAAAAGCACGGAAACGATTACAGTAGAAGCAAAAAGGTGTTGCTGCGTACAAGAAACGCAACGCTTACTCGAAGAGCAGTTGCCAACAGCAAGCCAAGAAGACCAAAACAGTCGGCGTATTTCGCGGAAGGTTTGCGGAAGCTTCGCAGAAGCTCCGCGGAAGGGCGGCCCCGTGTTTGCAGGCAAGTCGCCACGTAGCATGGGTAGCCCATGGTAGCCCAATGGAGCCCAAGCCTACACAGGCTGCGGCGAAACACTACCTTTGATTGAAATGACTTTCCTGTCTTCGCCAATACTCGCGGAAGCAAATCCTGTAACATGCGCCGCGGAAGGTTTGCGAAAGCATGCAATGAAACACATGTGCCGCGGAAGTTCGCGGAAGGGACCTCCGGGCCCGCGGCAAGGATGCGGAAGGCTCCGCGGAAGCTTGAATAATGTCCAAGCAAGTTTGTAGGAAATAAAAACCAACGCTCATTTGGGGTACCTATTTTTGACCCACAGCCATTTCAGGGCAGGCTACATCTGACAGAAGGGCCACTCACTGAGAACAAGGAGAACTCATATGAATGCGCCCGAAAGACTATGGATGATGTCCATGACGCAGCCAGCAGGAGGTCACGCTGCCATAAGTCTGGCACGTTCAAGTTTCAAAGAGCATTATTCCTTCTTCAGGTTACCACAGAGCCCCTTCTGACTTTCTGTTCAGGATTGCGGAGTGGGATGCTATGAGGGCCTAAATTTAATTAAACCTTAGGGAAAGCTGTAGAACCAACTGAACTTATGGGTCGCAAGAAACTGATGCGAGTAATTTCGCCCCACGACGCCTCCTTGTTGCCTGAATCACGTCGCCTCACCCAACGGCCGCTCGAAGGACACTGCCAGCACCCGCGGCGACATGGGAAAGAGATCCAGTATGAGCTCCTGGGTGGCAATTGAATTGGCTCGGGCAAATTTACCCACTGAGCCACAATCAGACCCGGGGAAGTGAAGGTCACTAAGAGACGCTCCAAACCACAAATGGGTGCGGCCGCCTTGGTGCTGATTATGACTGATTTGGGGTTCGAAACATGGCGGAACTCACTTGGGACTAGTGCCAAATCTTCCGTGTCGCCAAGAGGGGGAGCAAGTGGCTCGCCTCTTGCCATTGTGCCTGTTCAGTTGCCAAGTTTTGCGCTTTCTGTTGGTAGGTTTCGTCATTTTCGTAAGGAACCAACAGTGTAAACTCACTCTAGCCTGCCACAGGTTTTGTCCATTTCTTGGAAGGCAATCATCATAGGATGGATGCTGCAGCGCAACATACACCGCCAGTGGAGCCCGTTGTCTTTCTTCTTTTTCAGAGGTTTTCCCTTTAAACTTGACCGCCAAAGAAGGTTTGCCTTTTTTCCATGGGAATCCAGCGGGGGTTTGGGGTAGGCTTTTTTGTTGAATTTGTCCAACCCCTACATCTAACACCCAGTGTACAAGATTTGGAAGCACGCTTTCGCTGCTTTGCCTTGGGACGGTCGAGTCTCAGTTTGCTCGGGTCCAGGGTTTACTCACCCAAATATGGTTGTTAAAATCAGGACCCCATGTTGGAGCCTTCTCTCCTTTCCGGAAGGGAGCTCTCCGCCCGGGGGTGGGGGCGCCTGATCAAGGGTACTCACATATTCGACATATGGCCGTGGTTGTCAAAACCAATGGGATCCCATTTTGGGGTAGGTGCACCAGCCATTTTAGTCGCTCAGTTGTTCAAAAGCCGACCTTTTGACCTTTTGGTTTTCCAATTTTGGTCCATATTTCGTCATGGCCCCCAAAAGGTTGACCTTTTTGTTTTTGGGGGCATGTACTTTTATCATAGCATGTTTGCTCATTGCCATGGCCAATGCGCCATTTGGCTCAAGTTTTATCTCCGGCAACCCTCACTTGCAATCTCGTCACGTGCTCGCGGCGGCACTGGCCACCGTCTTCGCGCAAAAGGTGCGCGGGGCCGGCAGGCCGTGGTCCGGGTCTTCGTGGAGGTGGGTCGGGTGTTGTGTTGGGAGGTCACCATTTGTTTTGCTTCTGCACGCTTGCTCGCTTTGCTCGCTTGGTGCTGCTTGCTGCTGGTTTGCTTGCCTGCTTTGCGCTGTGCTGCGCTTCTGCTTGGTTCCTTCTTGTTACAACGAGGCACCCCTTTTGGTTCGTGTTAGTGCCGGCCGGGGGCAACTGCTTTGCCCTTGGGACCGGGGGGATAAGGTGGTCTCTTCTTGTTGGTGGGTTAGGGCCTGTTTTATCCATCCCGAAACTCTGTTTCAAACCCTTTCGCAGGTTATCAGCCGTAGGATTCGTCCTCGGTTGGCACCGCGAACCCCTTTTTAACAACCCTGCAGGCGCTGTAGGTTATTGTATATACGATGGCAGGAATCACTGAGGATGGACCTCACGTGGTGACTGATGAATGGGTTCTCGGCCAGGCCGGAATCTTGGACGTTGTGAATGACGACCAAGTGCCCGGACAGCCGATGTTTTCCGGTCCTGATTTTTTGTCGGACCACACTTTTTCCGAAGCAATGCCTTCAGGAAGGTCCAGTGCTACTCGCACTGATGACCTATCGTCTAATGCCTCAAGAGCTAATCGCTCTCAGGGTCATGGGGCTAATCGTCCTGACCATGATGATTCCGTCTCAGGACGTGATGATGACGAGCCCGGTATTGCACCTGGAGCTCAATCCTCATCTTTCCCGGAGCTGATGAATATTGGTCAGTCCGAGTTTCGTGACTCTCGAAGTAGCAGTAGACCTGTGCCAACCAGCAGTATAGTTTTTCAAGCGCTCGGTAATCCCGAACCCGGTACATCCAGTGGAGTTGCGTTTGATGTTCATCTGCCAGCCGATATCGGTAGGTCAGATTGGATGGCCTCATGGCCCAACGACGGTAATATTTTTGGCATGGATTTCAATACATGGATGCCAGGGCCACCCGCCCCATCATCTTTCCCGCAGTTTCAGAGCCCAAAGCGGACTGCTGGAAGCGAGGAATTCATGCTACCCTTGTCCATTGAAAATCTCAATCCTGATGTGGCCAGCCGCAATGTCAGGCCAAGGCCATCGGTAAACCCGACAATGAGGAATATGTCCCCTCCCCCAGGACTTTCAGGATTTGAGAGTCCAAGGGAGCGAAACATTGTAGATAGGTTGGATTTGCATCCCAGTCCTACGCCAAGCAAACGGTCTAGGTCAGACTCGGCCAGCTCGCATAGGGCTAGAAGGATGGATCGAGAGACCGCACACAGGGGAAACCCCAGTGTGCGGGGCTCAAGACGTGGTCACTCAGGCGATCCCGCGTCGATTGTCGGTAGGGATCCGCTAAACGCGGACACGCTGATTAACGTGCTTGATGGGATCGAAGCATTCCAGGAGGAATTCAATAGGTCGAGTGGCCCGAATGTACAGCCTGTTCGCCCTACGCCCAATGCGGCTTCCTTTCTCGCCATTGACAACACAGACGGAGCTGATGTTCCGATTGAGTCTGAGTCCATGATGGCATCAAGTTCCAATCACAACAACACCGTCAGCAGCGCCACCGATGTTGAATCAATGTCTGAGTCTAGAGCGTCCAATGCGACTGATTTGCATGACGTTGTCATTGCCGATATGAAGCCTGAAGTTCCTATGCGGACTGATAGGCCAGTAGTTCCCAAATTGTTTGTGACAAAGGGTCTAGGCATGCCACAGCCATCAGCGGTTCGTGATGCCAGAAGATCTGCACCGTATCAGAGTCAGTCTCCGAATCGGAGCGAATTCCCACGGCCATCAACGGCTGTACAAGATGATTTCAGGACACCTCCGAGATCTAATCCGATCATGGTTGATTTGTCCACTCCTCGAGATCGCGGATCAGGATTTGGTCCTGCGAGTGAGGAGCAACCCAACGAGGTTGCTGATCTTGTAACAGCCCTTGAAAGAGGGAGAGTGGACTCTTCGGTAAGTGCGATCATTCATCGCCTGGTTGCTAAGGTCGAAGACCTTGGGCGTAGGAATGATAGAAGTGATCAATGCATCAAGCAGCTCTCCACTGAGGTTAACTCGTGGAGGGCCAAATACGACCAATGCGTCCATGTGAGTAGCACGTGTACGCAGGCTGCGAACGCGGCCATGCAGCTGTCACAAGGGACTAAGGACATCGTGACCGAGCTTGGCCAACGCGTCAAGATCGTTTCCAATCGCATGACAAGCATAGGCGATGCCCTAAATGAGCGAGCCAGCTATGATGATGTTGCTCGCTCCATCACCCAAGTTCAAACTGTTTTTGAATCTCTTTCTGATCGAGTAACCGGGCTTATAGCTCGTGTTGATGCGATCGAGAGATCTCTAGTGGAGAGCCAATCCAACCATCCTGCGATTGGTGGAGTAAACCTCAAAATCGAGGACCTGTCCACTAGGGTATGTCAGATTGATAGGATGATGCAAGATGTCGAACAATGCTGGACCAATAATAGGGACGGCATAAAGTGGGTTAAAGACCAACTTTATGAGACACAAGCCAACCTTGAGATAAAGTCAAGGGACTGCAAATCCTACACGGACAAGCAAAATACTCATAACATGGCCGTTTCGACTACGCTCAACAGTAAGCTCGAGCAAATGCTCGAGGTGCTGGGTAATACGGCCCAGAGAATTAACTCCCTCGAGTCAAGGCACTCGAACCAGGCATCAAGTAGTGGATTGAACGATCGCACAGGAGGAAGGCGTGCCGCGTCCCGTACTCCGGATAAGCGGCCACCTCCACCTGGCCCTCCTGATGATGATCCTCCACCACCTCCTCCTCCAGATCGGCAAAGCCCAGGAGGAGGGGGGAAGAAGAGTGCTGCCGGTGGGAACCCTGGCGACCCTGGTAAACCCAGGTGTAAATACGTAGGTGATGGAAATAATCACCTCATGGCTGAGTTTCACTGCAAAGGATGCAGAGGTGATATTTGTGAGTATTGTTTCTCGTTCAAAGAGAACTTGTGTGAAGAATGTTCCCGTAACGGACCCCGATGCGGTGTCTGTAGGGAGAGCTCGTTCCTGACCAAGGGAATTGAGTGTCAGTTTTGTAGGACCTACTACTGCACCAGACATTCTGCTGGGCAGGATGACTACAGGAGATTTGGATTTGTCCAGGGTCCCTGTTGTCTTGCGTGCCTTAGGGACGAAACTAGGAGAAGAAGGGATCCCGATGGTAACCGTGTCAGGAATAGATCTCCTGGAGGCGCACCTGAGACGAACCCGACGCGGTCGTACTCGCCGCCTCTGCGGCCACCCGTTGACAGATTCCGTGACATTCCCACTGGGGGTCAACCCAACGCGGCTGACTCTCAGAGCCCTCCGAAGGCTACGCAACCCGTGCCCCTGGATAAACGTGAAACCGGATATTATCCAGGATTTGATCCCAACGGTACAAGGCCGAAGGATCCTTCAGGCCTTGAGCCGCCGACCATGCGTGGCCCCGATCCTCCTGACAAGAACTGTCGGATGTGTGATCGGGATATTCCTGACCCCAGCAAAATTGGGGAATGTAAGATATGCATGAAAAGGCATGTGAGATTTGCATTCCGAAGGCTACTCGCCTTTGTCCTGTATGTGCACTGTCAATCAGGTAGTTCTCAGGTTCCACAGCATCTTTTCGGAACTGGTGGCGGCGGATACAGTAGCCACCATGATCCGAACTGTACAGCTGCGACTAAGTGCATTCCCATAGACCTCCCGCCAGAGCCCGACGCGGCTGGGCTGAGGGTATGGATAGCCAATATGAAGGAAGCTGTTAGCAATGCCTACAGCTATGATGGACTTTACGTCATCAATTGGCTAACTGAAGTCGAGAAGGCAAAGACCTTTGATGAACTGGATGGGGAATGTAAATACCACATCCTTGAAGCCAGGTTCAATGCAGCCATTCGGAAGTGCATCAAGACTGTTGC